TGGTTAGGACCTTGCTAAATTGCTGAGGCTGGCTTTGAACTTGCAATCCTCCTGCCTCAGCCTCCCAAGCTACCGGGATTACAGGTGTACCACTACACCTGGCTGTCTTTTTGTTTTTGATTATGTCTTTTGAGACATAAAAGTTTTTTTTTTTTTAATTTTGATGATGTCTCTTGTTGCTTGTGCATTTGATGACATAGTTAAGAATTCACTGAGTAATCCAATGTCAAAAGATTTATTCCTATTTGTACCTTTGAAGGGTGTGATTGTTTCAGCCCCTATATTTGTATGATTCATTTGATTAGTTTTTATGATGGGAGTACAGAAAGTGTCTAATTTTATTCCTTACAATGTGCATATCTGGGGGTCCCAGCGCTAGAGCTGAAAATACTATTCTTTCTCTATTGAATTGTCTTCTCATCCTAATTGAAAATCAGTTGACTAGAAAGTGAGGGCTTGAGCTGAGGTGTGGAGAGGTGGCTCTATGGTAGAGTGTGTGCTTAGTCTGTGCAAGGCCCAGAGCAATCCTGCCACCCGAATTGAGGCTTATTGTGGACTTTCAGTTCTAATTAATTGATTGATGTGTCTATCCTTATGTTCATGTCATCCTGTTTTGGTTATTGTAGCTTGGTAGAGAGTTTGGAAATAAGGGAGTATTTGTCCTCCAACTTTGTTTTTTCATTTTCAAGATTTTTTTTCTAGCAATCTAGAATAGTAAAATATTCTAGATTACTTACATTTCCATATGAGTTTTAGATGATGTTGGATGATTTGTAAATATTTTCTTCATTTCTGGGGGTTGTTGTTATGGTTTTGAAATGAAACATCCCCCAAATAACTCATGTGTTGAAGTCTTGTTCCCCAGTGTTAATTTCTGCAAATCTAGTTATATTTTGGTAGAGATTGTCTTGAATCTGTAGATCAATTTGGGAAACATTGTCAACTTAACAATATTAAGTCTTTGTATCCATACACATGGGTTGTCTTTCCATTTATTTAAATCTTTAATTTCTTTCAAGTTTTACAATTCTTTTGTTAAATTTATTCCTACATATTTTATAGTTTTTGAAGCTTTTTTTGTTGCATCTATTATAAATGGAATTGTTTTCTTAGTTTGTTTTTTGTATTATTTATTAAAATTACATAAAATGTTTCCTTTTGAGTATTGCTTTTGTGTCCTGTTATGCATTGAATTTGAAATATTATCTCTAATAATATTTTGTTGGGTTTCTTGGGATTTTTCAATATTTTATCGTTAGGATTATATCAGCTGCAAATGTAGATAGTTTAGCTTCTTCCTATTTAATCTGGATGTGTTTTATTTCTTTTGCTTGCTTAATCGACCTGGCTAGTTCCCCTAAATGTGGAATAGCGATGGTGAAAGCAGACATCTTTGTCTTGTTCTTGATCTTAAAGGGAAGGTCTTTCACCGTCAGGTATGTTGACTGCAGTATTTTTGCAGATTGACTTTATCAAGTTAAAGAAGTGTTAGATTTTGTCAAGTTTTTTTTCCCCTGGATTTATTAAAACCACATGGTGTTTGATTACTGGGTATTCTAATAATTTTGAATTTTCTGGAGCAGTCAAGTTGGTCATATTGCATAATGCTTTTTTATATGTTGCTAGGTTTGGTACTATTTTGTTGAGAATTGTTGCATCTGTATTCATAGGATATCTGGTCTGAGTTCTCATTCTCATGATGTCTTTGGGTGGTTTGAATTTAATACTAGCTTCATAGAATGAGTTAGAGTGTTCCCCCCCTTCTGATATTTTTGAGAAGAAATCACCAAGGATTGCATTCTTATTTAAAATGTTTGTTAGATCACTAGTCAAGCCATCTGGGCTTGAGCTTTTCTTTGGAATAAATTTTTTGATGATAAATTCAACATCTTTACTTGTTATAGGTCTATACAGATTTTTTTTTTTTCCTTGAGCCAGTCTTGGTAGTTTGTGTGTTTCCAGAAAATTTTCCATTTCATCTATGTTATTCAATTTGTTGGCTGTGAATTGTTCACAGAGCTCTCTTATAATTCTGTTTATTTCTATAAGATCAGTGACAGTTCTATTTCCCTTCCTTTTTTCTTTTGGTGTTATTATTGTCACACTTGTTACAAACCTAACAGTACATTTGCAATTTATATCATTATATATCTTTAAAGAAGCTGAAAGAAATATATACTTATAGAGTTTGTTCCGTTAACATTTCTATTTACTGTTTCTTTTGATTTATTTCTACGCATTTGAGTTATCATCTTTCATCATTTCCTTAGTCCAATGCAGCTTTGCTTCCTCCTGCCTCCTTTAAACTGTTATTGTCAAATAGTTTGTACCCATGTACCTATTATGGTCCATCATCTTTATCCTTCCCTCACCACCTTTCTCTAGGTTTGGTAATACTTCTATTCTCTACTTCTTTGAGATTATATAGTTGCTTTTAAAAATCAATCAAGAGGAGAAAAAGGAATTATGCACTTTAATAATCTTTTTTTTATGTAAGCACACAGTTATCTTTATTGGCCATCTTTGCGTTTAGAGTAGAATTGAAATACTGTTTGGAGTTATCTTCCTTCAACCTGAAGAGCTTACTTTAGCATTTAAGAAAAGAATGCTAGTAAAATTTTCTATTTTTGTTTATCTAAGAATATCTATTATGTCTTCAGTTTTGAAAGACAGTTTTCTCAAAGTTAACACCAAAAAAACTCAAATAACCCTATCAATAAATGGGCTAAGGAACTGAACAGACACTTCTTAGAATATGATATACAATCAATCAACAAATATATGAAAAAATGTTCAATATCTCTAGAAATTAGAGAAATGCAAATGAAAACTACTCTGTCAGAATGGCAGTTATCAAGAATATAAACAACTATAAGTGTTAGTGAGGATATGGGGAAAAAGTCACACTCTTACATTGCTGGTGGGACTGCAAATTGGTGCAACCACTTTGGAAAGCAGTATGGAGATTCCTTAGAAAACTTGGAATGGAACCACCATTTGACCCAGCTATCCCTCTCCTAGGTCTATACCCAAAGGACTTAAAAACAGCATACTACAGGGACATACCACATCAATGTTTATAGCAATACAATTTACAATAGCTAAATTATTGAACCAACCTAGATGCCCTTCAATAGATGAGTGGATAAAGAAACTTTGGTATATATATATACAATGGAGTATTACTCAGCATTAAAAGAGAATAGAATTATGGCATTTGCAGGTAAATGGATGAAGTCAGAGAATATCATGCTAAACGAAATAGGCCAATCCCCAAAACCAAAAGCCAATGTTTTCTCTATTATGTGGCTGCTGATCCACAATGGGAGGGGGCAGGGGAAAAATGGAGGAACTTTTATTGGATAGAGGGGTGTGAGGGGAGGGGAGGGGGCATGGGGATAGGAAAGATGGTAGAATGAGAAAGTCATCATTATCCTAGTTACATGTATAATTGCACAAATGGTGTGACTCTACATTGTGTACAACCAGATAAATGAAAGTTGTGCTCCATTTGTGTACAATGAATTGAAATGCATTCTGCTGTCATGTATAACTAATTAGAACAAATAAAAAAAGAGAAAGTTTTCCTTTATCTAAAATTCATGGTCGATAGGGTTTGTTTTCTTTCAACAGTATAACTGTGTCCTCTCATTGTCCCAAAGTTAGCTTTTAATCTTATTAGGTGTCCATTGTATATGATGACTGGCTTTGTTTTCCTTGCCACTTTCAAGATTTTATCTTTTCGTTTTTAACATTTTGACTGTGATACATCTTGGGTGGATCTCTGCATTGGAGTTCACTGAATTTCTTAGATATGCACATTAATAGTTTTCATGAAATTTAGTATGTTTTTAGCCATAATTTCTTCAGATGTTTTTTTCTGTTCCTTTCTATCTCCATCTACTTTCATTATGCATGTGTTGGCAAACTTAAAGTTTACCATATTTCTCTGAGGCTTTCTCCATTGTTCTTCCCTCTTTCAGATTGCATAATCTCTACCAATCTATCTTCATGTTTGCTGAAGCTTATGTCACTTGGGTATATGGTCGAGCTCTCTATTCATTTTAGTTATTGTATTTTTCAACTCCAGAATTTCCATTTGACCCTTATTTTATTATCTTCTTTTAAATATTTATTTTTTTAGTTGTAGTTGGACACAATACCTTTATTTTATTTATTTATTTTTATGTGGTGTTGAGGATTGAACCCAGGGCCTTGCACGTGCTAGGGGAGCCCTCTACCACTGAGCTACAACTCCAGCCCCTTGACCCTTATTTTAATAACGTTCTCTTTATGCATGCTTTCTACTTGATGAGCCAGTGCCATCATGCAGTCTTACTTCTGTAAGTATGGCTTTCTTTTGTTCTTTGACCATACTTATTGCATCTGCTTTGAAGTTTTTGTTTATCCTAACATCTGGACTCTCTCATAGGTATTTCTTTTGCCTTGCTTTCTCCCCTGTGTTTGAGACACACTTTTCTCTTTTGCTCATGTGTTATAGTTTTTTGTTGAATCCTGGACATTTTAGATAAAATATCAACTCTGAATATTGATTTCTCCTTCTTTTATCTCTTCTTTCTGTTTTACTGATTCTTTCATGGCAATTACACAGAATACTTAAGACTGTACCTAGTGTATGGTATTGTGATTAAATGTGTGTAAGATTAAAGTTGTAGGATCTATAAAATCCAGTTTGTTTGCGTAGTGGTGTCTTTCTTTTGTCCCAACAGTGAGTTGTTCATGAGTAAAGGTTGTTTCCATTTAAATGAAGTATATCACACATTTTTATAAGTCCTGAGGCCTTTGTCTTTATTATGAAATTTGTCTTTATGGATTTATAATTTTGTTCCTTTTGTAATGCAGTAGTGTTTTTTCCCCCAGTGCTGACTATTGGACGCAAGATCTTGCACATGGTAGGTGAGTGCTCTGCCACTGTGGCACATCCCCAGACCTCTGTAATGCACTAGTTTTAGCTAATGCCTGATATTTCTTCCCTTTAGGTGACACCTATGTTTGAAGATTGGATTACTATTGATTGGTATCGATTTTTTTGTTTATGGGAAAAGTTGCCAACTTCTATGAAAAGGGTGGCAGAGCTAGTAGGAGTTGAAGAAGGATTCTTGGCTCGCTGTGTGAAAGGCAAAGTAGAAGCCAGAACTGAAAGACAGCACCGGCAAATGGCCATCCACAAAAGGTAAACATAGTTGCTTGAACTCAGTGTGCTTCACCCAGTGTCTGGCTTAAAGCCAACATCCATTTGTTGTGGTAATTTTAATTGTCAACAAAATAAAAATTTTTGCTAACTATAGTAAAATTTTCAGTTTCTTATGTTTACTGAATTTATAACTATTTTAGTTTCTTCTTGCACCTTATCCTTTAGCAACCATTACATATGAAGCTCTTTTAGAATGTCTGATTTCCCTTCCTTAAAGAAGATATGAATCAGAACTGTCAATTTACTGTGGAGTCACTTGGAATTATGCTTTGGGTACCTTAGAAGTAATTCATTACAAGTAGAAAAAGATACAGCAGATGAGGTAGAGAGGGAAGATGGGAGGGGAGGGGAGGGGGGATAGTAGGGGATAGGAAAGGTAGCAGAATACAACAGTTACTAATATGCCATTATGGAAAAATGTGAATGTGTAACCGATGTGATTCTGCAATTTGTATTTGGGGTAAAAATGGGAGTTCATAACCCACTTGAGTCAAATGTATGAAAGATGATATGTCATGAGCTTTGTAATGTTTTGAACAACCAATAAAAAAAATAATAAAAATTAAAAAAAAAGAATTATCATAATGATTAAAAAAATACAAAAAAAGACTTAGGTGGGGAAATTTTAGTCTTTTAGCTTCTTCGAAATATAATAAAATTATTTTTCTTTTATTATTTACAACACATTCAAGTGTAAATTTTATAAGGATTTATATACTTGAATTACTTGTCATTGTTGCTTTTAAAATCAAAATCAGATTTTATAATCAGATTGTCATTTTATTTAAATGTGATTAGATGATCATATATCTATGTATCAAGTCTTCTTTTAATTTTTGAACCAAGTCTTATTCAAAATTAGCAGTATTGAAATATGAAGGACTTTTTTGTATACTGACATTAGTTCCTTGCTCTGTACTGCTCATACTGATCCATGCCAACACTTTGTCCACCAGCCTATTTCCTATTAGAAATCCTCCTGGAGTATTTAAACCCTCCATTGTCTTTGTGGTTCTTAGTTGCTTTGCAGCACACATTGTACTTTTGTAGTAGATACAAGTGATCTCTTACCATAATGTTGGTGATTTATTTTTTAGGTTTTTCACCAGTCTTGTGCTACTAGACTTAATCAGTGAAATTCCTTTAAAGGAAATAAATCAGAAATATGGATGCAATCGTGGACAAATTCAATCTTTGCAACAGTCAGCTGCTGTTTATGCAGGTCAGTTAAAGGGTCTTACATTTATTGAACACTGGATTTATTGAAGACTCTGGTTGTTAAGATTTCTTTTGTTCAAATTCCATTTTATTATAAGTCTCTCTAATATTGGTATAATTTTGTGTAGTTCCTGTTATCATCAGAAAATCTGAAACTATGGCTTCTCTGGCCTCAGCATCCTGTATAGAGAACTGCTAAGAAGCTGAGTGGGCCTTATTCCCCCTCTGTTCCTAAGGAACCTGTTGACTGTTCCTCTTCTTTTTGTTCTGTTTGTTTGTTTTGGGTACTGGGGATTGAATTCAGGGGCACTTAACCACTGAGCCATAACCCCAGCCCTATTTTGTATAGCCCTATTATGTAGAGACAGGGTCTCGTTGAGTTGCTCAGTGCTTCACTGTTGCTGAGGCTGGGTTTGAACTTGCAGTCCTCCTGCCTCAGCCTCACGAGCTGCTGGGATTACAGGTGTGCTCCCCTGCACCTGGCCTGTTTATTTGTTTGTATTTTTAGTTTCCTTCCTTCCTTTCTGCCTGCCTTCCTTTTTTTATTTTTTCCTGTTGAAAGAAAAAATAGAAGTGAAGTGATCATGGTCTCCCTTTTCTCAAAGTACTGATTAACACATATTGGTGAAAATGAGAATGTGAAACAGAAAGCATTTTCTGGACTCTTGTCTGACTGTTTAAATTATTATCTCTTCTTGTTTATTTCCATATTTTTTTATTGGTGCATTATGGTTGTACTTACCAGTGGAATTTGTTGTTAAATATTCATATATTGCACACAATATAGCAATATAATTGTTAAATATCATCCCCTAGCTTTTCCTCTTTCCCTCCCCAATATTTTCTCTTCTTTTAGGAAGTATTTGTGTGCCTTAGTATATGAAACCCATGTTCTCTGAGCTAGAAAACAAGGAATTCTGGGTCTGATTTTATCAGGGACCTTCTTTCTTAGGAAAGAAACACTGGGCTACTAGAAGATGTATATATTTACATGAGCAGGAGGTTTCATTGTGATTGAAGGTGTGTGGATATGAAGGAGTGCTGAGGGGAAGATGGAGGCAGTGGATGGTGAGGGGGAGGGACTCTCTAACTCACTGGCATCAAAGATCTAAGACTGCCTTTAGGATTAATGTTCTCATAGGGAGGTGACTCAATGGCATGACACTTGGCTGCTCTGACCTCTTTATTTCAATTGGGTTTAGCTGTTTAAATGGCAACCTGGAATTTTACTCTTTGTAGTTCTTGTAGCATTTGAATATTTAGATCAGCTGTCTTCCTCTAGGTGGAAAGAGTCCCTCACTTGTATTTTAGAGTTCTCTCTTCCTTAAGTAATTTAGGAAGAAGCTGGATGCATAGGTGCATGCCTTTAATCTCCACTACTCGGGAGACTGAGGTAGGAGATCACAAGTTTGAGGCCAGCCTTAGCAACTTAGAGACTGGCTCAAAAAAAGGGCTGATGCAGTGCAGTGGTAACCCTGGGCTCAATTCCTAGTACTGCCAAAAAAGAAAAAAGAAAAGTAAGGCAGAGGGGAATGGACTACTGGGAAGGCTTTTTGTTTGTTTTGTGTTTATGTGTTCTGCCTCAGTTTTCAAATGTTAAATTTAGAATCAAGAATTAATGAGAGACAATTATTATATTTAGCACACTTAGTGATCATTTTTCTAGGTCCTTAATATATGTCTGTTCTTCATTAACTTACCTCTTGGGCCTTGTGAAATCTTACAATTCTGCAGGAAATAAACCAAAGAAATACATGTGAAGAAATGGAGAATTTTTGTATAAGGAGCTTTTTATTATTCTGTTTTTATCAGTCATTGTCAATTTAACACTTATTCTATCACTTAGGGATGATAACAGTATTTTCCAACCGTCTGGGCTGGCACAACATGGAACTACTACTTTCCCAGTTTCAGAAACGTCTCACGTTCGGCATCCAGAGGGAGCTGTGTGACCTGATTCGAGTATCCTTGCTCAATGCACAGAGGGCCAGGTTCCTCTATGCTGCTGGCTTTCTTTCTGTGGCAGACCTTGCTAGAGCAGATGTTGCTGAGGTGGAGGTGGCTCTGAAAAATGCTGTGCCTTTCAAAAGGTGAGAAAGCCCCTTTATTTACATAGGGTTATGAAATGATAAGGTTATGAAATGTCATGTCAGATAATGAAATTATATAATGATAAGTATTAAAACATTTTCCTCTTAATCTCATGACATACTTGATAAATGGAAGAATATGTGGCTACTTTTTTCTCCTTGAGGATGACTTTTCATTTTGTGTATTTTATAAATATTGCCTGATTGAAAAGCCACTTCTAAAAGGATCATAATTCTCTCCTGAAAAGATTGAATGAAAATACAGTACCAATGCTTTTGTCTTTGATGAATTTTCATTTTCATTACATATCCAGGGCTCATCGTATACTTTCTTTGGTCAGGAGCACTTTATTTTTTATTTTATTTTATTTTATTTTATTTTTTTGTGGTGCTGGAGATCGAACCCAGGGCCTTGTGCATGCGAGGCAAGCGTTCTACCAACTGAGCTATATCCCCAGCCCCAGGAGCACTTTAAAATGCATTCTTTGCAGAAATTCTTTGGAAAACTAGTCCTTCAAAACATTTTATGAGGAGAGGATTCCTTGACACATTTTTGTGTGAACGTGGTGTTTGACCAATACATTGTATGGGCTGGACTCAGCATATAATCAAGGAGTAACTTAATTATTTTAACTGTCACTGTTGGAACTCACTCCAATATGAAAAACCAAACACATTCATAACTATTTAGTTACTTTCTGGTACTAAAAGTTTTATTTTCAGGTACCTAAGAATGTGTTCTCAATCAAAGCATTAATCTCTTTTCCAGTTTAATGTTTCTTTCTTCCCACTCATTTCTGGCTTGATCCAGGGTGTGGAACTTGTAACACACGGGGGCGTAGTCTTTTGCTATCCTCTTAGATCTTACATATCTCCTTCTCTATGTACCCTTTCTTTTTGATAATCTTAAGATTTCAGGTGGGAAGAAGGGAGGTGAGGTAAAGAGGCAGAAAATCTTTGATGGAGGTATTTGTTTCTGTATCGCTGTTTGGCAGGATGCTAGCCTGTGCCCATATTATGTTTCTTTCTCTCCTGGGGTATCTTTGTTTTCACTACATCCTCACTAATGAGAGCCCTAATGCGGAAGAAGTTGCAAGCTGTCTGTATCCAAACTAGTGTTATAAGGAGGGCCATGTAACAGTGTATGAAAGTCAGGTTTATGGGTTTGATGAACATGGGTTCTTTTTGAAAGTGTTTTCCTCCGGAAAGGCCTGTGTCTATCTCAAAGTAAGAATGCCCCTCAGAGTCAATGATCATTGCAAACACTTGTAGAACTTTAACTGTGATAAGCGTTTTCACATTATTATTTTTATCAGTTCTCTCTGGTTGCAAAGATCATTATATTTTTAGTGGTGTTTCAATTTTGTTTTTTCTCCTAAGCTCATATGGTTTTAGTGTGTGATTTTGTAGTGCCTGGGGTTTTTAAAGGATACATAGGGTATCATAGTAGAAATTTTTGGTCTCTCTCTCTCTCTCTCTTTTTTTTTTAATTGGGCATTAGGGTTCTTTGTACACATTTGTGATTATTTTAGGTAATTTAGTAATTTAAAAAGTTTTAACAATTTTGAAGAAAAATTTTTGGAAAATGCTTTCTACTTTTTTTGGGGATGTGGGGTGAGTACCAGGATTGAACTCAGGGCACTTGACCACTGAGTCACATCCCCAGCCCTATTTTGTATTTTATTTAGAGATAGGGTCTCACTGAATTGCTTAGTATCTTGCTTTTGCTGAGGCTGGCTTGAATTCACGATCTTCCTACTTCAGCCTCCTGAGCTGCTGGGATTACAATGCTTTCTATTTTTCAAAACAATATATTTTAACCTTTTCTTAATAACTTTGTCAAATTAGCTAGGTCCTTTGTCATTCTAATATTAATTTTGTTTATTGTACATTAGTGATATATTGCAGAGCTATTAAAATGTGTAGACTTTTAATCTGTTGTGTATTGTTACTGTGCTCTGTGATTTGTGATTTTGTTTTTCCATCATTTTCCTGAGTGTCAGGCTACCAGCTGATTAGCTGGTATTTCTCATTGCTGTCATTTTCAGCAGTCTACTAAAGTTCAGCAGCTAGGACACAAACACTGAAGGAGTCATTAGAGATTAAAGAACTCCAGCTTTTTGTGAGTTCACAAAAAGGATGGGGTGTCTGTTTTAGAATTAGATAGACTTCTTTGGAAAGTCTACCTAGAATGTGACTTAAAACCAACTTCTAAAAGTGCTAGTCACCTCTGGAGTTTGGTTTTCATAGAACCTTTGGAAATATGTACTGATAGTTCCTGGGGTAAAGAAAATCAGGTATGGAAAAAATCTTTACATGGTCACAACATGCCACAAATGATCCATTTTTAAAAAGTTCAGCTGAAAAACAGTGTTGTTTGCAAGCACATCACTTCTATATTATAGTGAGGTTGTTGCAAAGGTTATACTTCTGAAAGCCTAGAACCTATATTGATCAAAATTAGTGATAGTATTTAGCAGGACAAATTAGTATTATGTGCATCATGTAATACCATGAGGCCATTTTATTGCTTTTTAATTTTTTTGGGGGGGGGTGAGGATGATATTATCTCGTTATTCCGTGTTCTTTTTTAAAAAAATTTATTTATTTTTTATTTATATATGACAGTGGAATGCATTATAATTCTTATTACACACACAGAGCATAGTTTTTCATATCTTTGGTTGTATGCTTTTTAATTTTTTTATAAATTAATTCATTTTTAAGATTGACAACATTTGTATGTGTCAATTTTGAGTGTGCCCAAGGAGGAATTTATGATGTTCAACGTGTTCAACATGAAGTTTTGAATAGGTTGAAACAAAACATAAGTTTTCTGTCTTGAACACTTAAAAATCTACTCTCAGTGATTTTTTAAAGAATTCAATGCAGTAATATACAATACTCCTAGAATATTTATTACCCAAAATGTTGAGAATGAATTTAATCATAAAGAAACAAACTAAATTGGAATACATTCTCCAAAATAATTGACCAGTCCTTTATAAAGGGAAGGGGCATGGGGTTGTAAATGACAGTGGAACGTGATGATCATTATTATCCAAAGTACATGTATGAAGATACGAATTGGTGTGAACATACTTGGTATACAACCAGAGATATGAAAAAAAAAAAAAAGTCTTTGAGTATTTTTCTAAACAAAAAATCAAGGGCCGTAAATCCTTCTGTGGGACAGCAACTTTCCAGATTGAGGCAGGGGCCCTCTGTTTGCAGCCAGGAAATAGAAGATTTTTGATCCCAACCTGATCTTAGGGACTAGATTGCTTGATTGCTGCCTGAGAGATAACAATGTGCAGAAGATTCTAGGAGGTGGGAGAGGCATAATGAGGGTCATGGAGGAGTGTGCCCAAGGAGGAAGCTCAGGACCAACTTGTCAACTCCAGGGTTGTAGGGTGACAGCCACAGCAGATATTCAGAAATCCTGGAGAAAGGAGGAGAGGCAATGTAGCAGAGGAATTCCTTTTGTGCATTTTGAGTAGCTTTGTCTGTGGAGTGGAACACAGGGTTTTCTGGGCTCTCTTTGCCTGCCAACATAGTAGAGTTTTGACCCTACGGTTATTTCTAGCACTTGCAAGGTTTCTGGTCTAATTGTTAAATATTTGACACTTGACTTTTGTGTAGATTTAGATATAGAGATCTATTTCATTCTTCTACCTGTAGCTATCCAGTTTTCTCAGCATCATTTGTTAAAAATGCTTTCTTTTTTTTTTTTCCCAACAAATATTTTGGCACCTTTTCCAAGAATTAGATGACTGTAAGTGTGTGGGTTTGCCCTGTGTCTTCTATTCTGTTCCATTGGTCTTCCTGCCCTTTTTTTTTTTTTCCTAATATGGATTTTTCATTTTAGTTATTTATATGCAGTGCTGAGGATCAAACACAGGGCCTCACATATGCCAGGCAAGCACTCTACCACTGAGCCACAACTCCAGCACCCCCTCCTCCCACTTCCTGCCTATTTTAATGCCGGTACCATGCTGTTTTTGTTATTATACCTCTTTGTTATAATTTGAGACCAGGAATTGTGATTCCTGCTGCATTGCTCTTCTTGCACAATATTACTTTGGCTACTCTGGGTGTCTTATTCTTCCAGATGAATTTAAGAATTGTTCTTTCTTATTCTGTTAAGAACGTCATTGGTATTTTAATGGGGTTTTATGGCCAATTGAGATCAATCAAAATTTAATTGGAGAACTGATATCTGTATAATGTTGAGTCAACATATCCAAAGATTGGTTGTTTCTTTGCATTTGATTTAGTCTTTGTTTTCCAGGAGGTTTTTTTTTTTTTAAAGTTTCCCTTGTAAATTTTTGTACATTTCTTGTTAAATTTATTCCTATTCAATATTCATTGTTATTTTAATTGGTGTTTCTCTTATATCGATACATGATTATTAGTTGAGATTTGAAGGCTACTGATTTTTATGCATGTCTTGTCCTGTTATTTTGTGAATTTCTTTATTGTTTGAGTTACTTTTATCATTGATTCTGTGGGGTTTTCCAGGTATGTTACTATTTTTTTTTCTATAAGTACAGGTATATTGCTTCTTCCTCACAATTTCTTGTGCTTTTATTTGATTTTTCATGCCAAATTGAATTATTTCTTGCCTAATTGAATTATTTCTGGTTTTTAACTTGAATTAGTTTATCCTGCGATTGACTATTCTTCTAGTGTAGTTCCTCCCTTTTCTCATTTTCAGTTTTATTTTTCATTTTTTCTTCATGAAATATTTTGTTGAGAATGTTTTGTAGTGCAGGCTTTCTGGTTGTGAAATTTTTTTTATATATTTGTTTATCATGGAAGGTTTTTATTTCATTGACAAATCTGAAGCTTAATTTTACAGGGTATTGTATTCTTGGTTGACATTCGTTTTCTTTCGAAGCCTGGGATACATGATTCCAAATCTTAGCTTTGATGGTCTAGCTTGAGAAACCAGCTGAAATTAGAATTGGTTTCCCTCTAAATGTGACTAGTTTTTCTTTGGCAGTGCTTAGAATTCTATCCTTAGTCTGTATGTTTGGCATTTTCACAATAATTTGCCTTGGTGTGGGTCTGTTGTAATTTTGTATATTTGGGGTCCTGCATGCTTCATGTATTTGATTTTTCATTTCATTCTTAAGGTTTAGGAAACTTTCTGGTATTATGCATTTCTTTTGATTGTTTCTCTGAGCCTTTGTTTGATCTTTTTTAAATCTTAAGTTTGATCTTTTCCTGTTATCCCATAATTCTTGGAAGTTCTGTTCATGTTCTCCTAACATCTTTTCTCCGTGGTCAACTTTATTTTCAAGATTATATATTTTGCCTTCATTCTTGAAACTGTGTCTTCTAAGTGGTCTGGTCTGCTTGTGATATTTCCAATGAATTTTAAATTTTGCTTATTCATTCCTTCACTTCAAAGATTTTTGCTTTTTTTTCTTTCCCAGAATCTCTGTCTTGTTATAGAAGTGATCTTTTGCTTCCTGTATTTTCTGCTTTATATCATCTTTTACCTTGCAGATCAATTTAATTAGGGACACTTTAAACACCTTTTCTGACATTTCTATCACAGCGGTGTCAATAGATTCTGTTTTTTTGACATATTTTGGTTTGTTTGGGGTGATTTGTTCCTTGGGTTTTTCATGTTGTTTGGGAGTCTATTGATCTAACAGTTGCTTTGAGGTAGTAAATATCCCTGAAGGTTTCCAGTATCTCATGGTTTATGGGGAGACAGATAATAACCACCAGTGTAAACAAATTACAGCATTACACCAAATAGCTCTTGCTATGAAATCTGTAATGTTTATTGTCACAATAATCAGAAATGAAATGATCAGTTATTGCTCATGGCAAAAACAGTAAGTTTACAAATGGTCTACAAATCCAAGTGGTGATCAGGGATAGAACAAAAGTGATATAGGGTGTGATGATTATGAGAGAGGAGGAGAGAAAATGGAAGTAAAAAATTAAAGGAAGAGTGAAGGAGAGAGCAATGGAGATTACCTGTTAGCAGAGGAAAAGAGAGAAAAAGGGTTGAGGGAAACTGAAAGGTAAGAGAAAACAATGTATAAAATAAAATAAATAAAAAATACAAAAATGAAATAATAAATTGCAAAAATAAAATTGATATCTGCTAATCAAACATCTTAGTCCTCAAAATATTGTTCCATGAAAAATAACTGCCTTCAAATAAAATGGTAGAAGTGAGGAAAAAATAAAGATATATGAATACGTATAAGTATCTAGTTAAAGATAAGAGGAAAGTGATGGGGTATAGAACAGGGTTTTTAGATTCATGAAATGAATAGGGCAAATGCAGAGGTGATATAGGATGTGTTTGTAAGGGGGGAGAACAAAAAAGAGAAGTAAAGGAATTAAAGGAAGAGAGAGAGCGCTAGCATGCAAACAAGCAATCAAGTTTGGCTGTTAGCAAGAAAAATGAGAGAAATATTAACAAAGGAAAACAATGTTTTGAAACAGACAATGAAAAATCAATCCAAAATATACTAATCAAAAACTTTAACCCTCAACAAACAGCATGAAAAATACCTATCTTCAAGAAAATGCTACAACTGAAAAATCATAAATAAGTACGTGTACAAATGTATAATTGTCTCATATATCAATCGGTGTGCATTTAAAAACAAAACAAAACAGCAAAACGGAAACAAAATTACAGAATAGTCAATGAGGGTACTCGCCCAGTGTCTGTGCCAACTGCCTTTCCATTTCTCAGCTTCCCTTCTCAGCATGAGGGTGTGTGGAAGACACTTTTGGCTTCACTTCCAGGGTGTGTAATTGCCGTCGGGTTCTATGAGATGAGTTTCTGCAAGTGAAGCTCCCTGGGTGAGGATTTGGTCTGGTATTGCCCCAGGTGTTTTGTTGTGTGGGGAGTTTCAGGTCTTAATGAATGAACACACTTCTAGGACTCTACCCAGTGCTTCATTGCTTCACCTGTTCTGTTGTTTGGCAATACTGCCCTAATTTGACTTCTCAAAGACTGTTTTAGAGCACTGAGCTTAAGTACTCTGCCCTGTTCAAGTTCTCTCTGCTTGTGGTCCTGCGCTCTGCCAGTTTCAATGGGATGAGGCAGAAATTCTCTGTGCTAGAGATTCTCCTGATTTGCTAGGCTCATTTTAGATCTCATGGTTGGTGTCAGCAGGATTCATGTATTGGTCTCAATCCATCCCAAACTCAGGGATGGATATAAGTTCCTGGTCTGAATTAGTGCTGCAGTTATCATGGAGGTATTAACATGTTTCCAGCTTCGGCTTCCTGTACTGGCTGGCAGACGTGACATTTGTGCACCAGTTTATTGGGTCAAATAGCTTCTGGGTTGGCTCAGGGCAGGCAGCCCCTCTGATCCTGGGATTCCCCATGCCATGATTTTCCCAGGACTTTTTTTTTATTTGTTCATGAATTTTTATTTTATTTATTTATATGTGGTACTGAGAATAAAACCCAGTGCCTCACACATGCTAGGCTAGCACTCTTCCACTGAGCTCTAGCCCCAGCCCTTTCTCAGCAGTTTTTGATCTTTTCCAACCTGTATTAATTTTCCACAGAGCTATGAGAAAAGCCACTTCCCACTGATCCCCATCTTGTCTCTTCCAAATCCCAATTCTTGTGATCAATTCAAAAAGATTTCAGACAAGCTGCCCAGAGTAATAGGAATTGAGTTTATTGAAGGGATAGGAAAAGGGAGAGGGGACCCTCAAGTGAGTGAGTGGGTCCTCTCAGAGAAGAGAGGGACAGTGTGCCTCTCCTGCACTCCAGTTTTATTGGGGATCCCTCCTAAGTTTCTGGAGAGTCCTGCCCAGGTCCACCTCTTGACTTTTTACTCACAGCAGGCTGACATCAGACTTCGAAATCCCTACGTCATGGCAACTCTAGGTCACCTTGGCCCATGCTGATGTGTTCTAATTGGATTCTTAATTATAAATTCTTACAGATTTTATGGTTAGGAGGAATTATCCTTATCTCCCTGAGTTTTGGGATCTGTTCTATGAAAAGGGTAACAAAATTTACGACCTTCAGGATAACTTGAGTTCAAGTCCCTCCCAAGTCCTGCACCGGTGGTAGGAATGGGGTTCCCCTCGGTGGAATGGGCTGGCTGAGGAATAAAAGCAAAGAGAAATAAAATGATGAAAAAAAAAACATACAAAAAAGTAGTTGCAAATGTCAGAGCAGGACAGGCAAGCTGATCAGACAGATTGAGATTCTGGACAAAGATGGAGCCTGCATCTTTTTATTTATATTGGGAAACATCAATGGCCTTCCATAGATTGTTCTTCACCAAAATAGGATAAAGGTAGGCTGTTCAGTTCCTAAAGGGATATGCCCATCTCTGGTACTACTATGAGGAACCTTTCTGGCAGAGCAGAGGGAAAGGTCACATGCATTGGGCTATCTATTGCCGTGGGAGAACTATGGAAAGTTCCCAGTGCCAGGCCTATCCCTCCCTGGCATCCATGCCGAGAGGAGGTCCTCATGTATTTCATGGATGGCTTCCCACAGATAAGTCTTATGGTACTCATATTCTTTTGCCCCGGTAAGGTATTTGATCTTTTTGTGTGTAAACATCGGGATCTTTTCCCATATATTTGAAGTTTAACAGTTTTACTAGGTAAGTTTCTATTTTATGTAACAAAATACTTAAAAACAGTGGCTTAAGAATAGCAGTTTAAGTATATATTATCTTGAAGTTTCTGTAAGTAATGAATTTGGGTGCACCTTTGCTGGTGGATCTGGCCTGGGGTCTTTCATGAGGTTGCAGCTCAGTTGATGGCTGGGACTGTAGTCATCTGAAGGCTTAACTTGGGTGTGCTTCTAGCAAGACTCATGTCTACTCTGGTAAGTTGGTGTTTGATGCTTCAGGTGTGATCTAGATGGAGCACTCCATAAAACATCTGATGATGGATGGCCTCCCTAGAATCGGTGATCCAAGGGAAAGCAGAATGGAAGCTATAACGTCTTTTATAACTTATCCTTAGTTTTTTAGTTGTTTTACCTGAGCAGCTGAATTGGACCCTAGTACCCCATCTTAGCTGGAAGCAGAAATTGGTCAGCCATTATTTCTTGCATAATTTTCTCCCCATCCTGTCTTCCTCCTCCTCCTGGTATTTCAATTATACATATGTTTGACTTTTTAGGGTCTGTATTCTATGATGTTGCCCAGAAGAGCACTGATATTGTATTAGTCATTTTGGGTGAATTCAAACTCTAAACTTGGTGGGTAGTAGCTCAAGTCTCTGTTCAGACTTTTTAACAGGTTACTTGGGGTCTTCCCACACTGGTATAATTTATAGCCATATACTGGGCAGAGTTTATATGAAGAATTTGGGGTCTCCTTCTTTGACTTTCTCATTTTTAGACATTCCCCCTTTAATTTCTAACTCCTATATTTACCCTAAGCTCCGTTCTGAATTCAGTCAGTGGTCTCCTGGTTTTAATCCAAACTCTTAGTGGGCCTACATGGTACTGACTAGAGCCTACTTTCTGGTGAAAAGTGTGGAAATTCACCCACTGTCATTTATTTGTTCTAACATTCAACCCCCATCCAGTTTCTGTTTTCTTTTGGCCACTCTCCAGTCTCTTCAATATTTGGTCTAGAGTTTATAGTGTGTAGGATGATTTGTTTTCAATGACAACATTATGACCCTTTTTAATTTTTAATATTTGGCTTTTGCTTAAAGAAGTTTAGTTAAATGTTTCCTTATTATGCTGTTTTAAAATTGCAGAACCACCCACCCCTTTCTGGTAATTTTTTTTTTTTTTTATACTGTCCTCAGGTGACATAGAATATAAGTTTAAACATTTTTTTTTTTTCCTGATTTCCCCAGGTAGTCATGAGAGTAGATATCGCTCTTTTTCAGGGTTATTTCTTTAATTCCTAGAACAGCTCAGATTGAATGCTTAATAAATATTAGTTGTATGAATGAATTAATCAACACATTAATTTCCTTCTTTTTAAAAAAATCTTTTTCCATAGTGCTCGAAAAGCAGTGGATGAGGAAGAGGAAGCAGTTGAAGAACGTCGGAATATGCGAACTATTTGGGTGACTGGCAGAAAAGGTTTAACTGAAAGGGAAGCAGCAGCCCTTATAGTAGAAGAAGCCAAAATGATTCTGCATCAGGACTTAGTTGAAATGGGAGTGCAATGGGATCCTCACTCCCCTTTAAGTTCTGGTACAAATTCACTGCCCAGAAGTGAGTCAGAACAGGAACACACGTTGATAACCCAAACTATAAGTTCTCATAAAAGATTAACATCAAAGAACAAAAGTAATATAAGATTTAGTGATTCTTATATTAAGCATTCACCTGATACAGTGCAAGATTTAGATAAAACTAGAGAGCATACAAGTTCCTTTCATTGTAACTCCCAGGATGGCAATCAGGAACATCAGAGATATTCCATTTCCAGAGCAAGAAAGCGGGCTTCTTTGGGCATACATAAAAAGAAGCTGAGAACATCTCTAAACAAAGGAAAATCAAGCACTAGAAAAGTTGTTCAGACTTTCTCATTAGAGAAAACAAAAAAAGCAGCTTTGAATTTCAGTTCAGAAGAAATGAACACAGGCTTTCAATCTTGGAATAATAGAAAGCATCAAAAACAGTCCACGGATGGTAGTCCTAAGAAAGACTCTGGGCAGCGTGGAATTGATTTGAAAGGACAGACTATGTTTAGTCCTGATGTTTGTGAAGAACCATTTACCGTGGATGAGAAGAATATGGAATTTATAAGTCCACAGCCATTTGCCAAAAATGTACCTTTTTACACTAAGGGAAATTACAACAAAACATCATTGCTGTTACAAACAGAGCAAAGCTGTTTAAAGAAAAGAACAGCAACTAATGAGATTCTGGAGAAATGTTCTGTCACAGGATTCCAAAGCAAAACCATGACTTGTCAAGCTACTAGTGTGGTTAGTAAAAATGGAAGAGGATCAGCAGTTGTTGAAACAGAAAAAATAAATGAAGTGCTGATACAAAATGATTTAAAAAATCAGAATGTTTCTGTGGTATATCATGATAGTCATCCAGTTAATCATGGCCTGGAAAAGCAATGTGATAAGCCAACAGACACTAACATCAAACAGAAAGAAATAATACAGAGAAAAATGCCCTGTGAGGTAGTCAGTAGTTACATGCATAAAGAGCCAGTTGTTACTGCGATCACATGTGAAAGTATAAAGTGTAATAGTGAGGAAAATAAGCCAAATCATTTTCAGGCATTAGGAGATATACACAGAAGTTGGGTAACCAGTGGAATATTTCAGTCAATGAGAACATTTGATAAATCAGGAGGCCAGCATGAGAATTTTCTAAATTCTTCTAGCATAAAAGAAAAAACAAATGCTTATGTAACAAACAAAACTGAAAATAATTGTGTTTCTGACTTAGGTTTAGTCTGTGATTTTGAAGATAGTTTCTACTTGGATACTCAGTCAGAGAAAATAATTCAACAGATGGCAACTGAAAATGCCAAACCAGGAGCAAAAGACACCAACCTGGCAGCATGGACAATACAGAAGAGTGTAGAAAAACAGGATCTGAACCCTTTCCACAGTGAGTCTCATATTTCTGGTGAACAGTATTCCCCAGGAGTCACTAACCAAGAGAGGTTGGACCTGAAGACCACAGAAACTGTGAAACAGAACACTGAAAAAGAGGTCGATAGTCTGACTCCAGAAAGCCTGGTTTTTCATTCTCCAATCCTGTTGGAGGAAAATAGCCCTTGTTTTAAAGGGAATGAACTCTCTGTAACTGACTCACAATTAAATAGTTTTCTTCAAGGTTATCAAACGCAAGAAATGGTGAAACCAGTCACACCTGTGGTTCCTTGGAAGAGCTCTCCCACTGATACCGAGGGAGAATGTCTGCCTGGTCCTGAGATAAGTTTGAATATGAGTGATAGTTTACTGTTTGACAGTTTTAGTGAAGACTTCCTAGTAAAAGAACAACCACTAGATGTACAAATGAAAGAACCCCTTACTCCTGAAATAACATCAAATCATTTTAGTGATTCTGTTTGTATACAAGAGGACCCAGTGAAAATATCCAATGTGAATGAGCATCAAGGCATTTTGCAGCAGTTGACCTGTGTCAATGATGAATCTATTATGTTTTCAGAAGTGGATTCTGTTCAGATGGTTGAAGCTTTGGATAATGTAGATATATTTCCTGTCCAAGAGAAATGTAATTCTGTGGTATCTCTTAAAGCATTAGGTAGAAGTGATTCAGTGATTGTGAATAATGGGCATCTTCATGGAGAAGTAATTGGAGGAGATGAAGATGATGAAAAGGCTTCAAAGTCCAGGTTAACTGGGAGAAGGCAAAATAATTCATTCGGATGGTCAGGGGCATCAATTGACTTAAGTCCAGAATTACAAAGGATTTTAGATAAAGTTTCCAGTCCTCTGGAAAATGAGAAGCCAAAATTAACAACTATAAACTTGTCTAGTTTAAAAGGTAAAAGTACAGAGTTACATGAGAGGAAAGAAGTGATTTTAAATTTGGAAACAAATCAAGTACAGGCAATTTCAATTTTCCCTAATAATGAAGTAAAAAGCAAGATTGAGGCATTAGAGAGCAGTGCCAGTCATGGTGAAACCTCATTCCTCTTGCCTTGTAAAGAGGGCTTGATAGCTGATGATAATGGTCTCATTCCTCCTACACCCATTCCAGCATCTGCTTCTAAGCTGGTATTTCCAGAAATCCTTGGAGCATCTGTAAAAGTTCAGAAAACAAGTAACGCTTTACAGCCTGGTGAAGATTGCACATTTGGCTCAACTTTAGATAATAAAAAGCAAGATTTAACGTTAGAGAATAGAAACAATTTCCAGGAGGACAGTCTTGTTAGAGACACAAGTTTTTCCCTGCAGTTGTCACAGGATGGATTACAGTTAACTCCAGCCTCGTGCAGTTCAGAAAGTCTGGCCATCATAGATGTAGCAAGTGACCAAACTCTCTTTCAAACATTCATTAAGGAGTGGCAGTGCAAAAAGCGATTTTCCATCTCACTGGCTTGTGAAAAGATTAGAAGTTTGACATCTTCTAAAACTGCTACTATTGGTGGTAGGTTTAAGAAAGGTAAGAATTTAAAAAAATTTTTGTTTTTTCATACTTACCTATAAATTAGTTGGTGGACTGAGGTGAACTTTAGATTGTTTAGTATTAGTTGTTAGATAGCATCTATTCAAAATTTAGTTTATCTCCTATTAGGACTTACATGTAAACAGCTTTTTTTTTTTTTTTTAATTTGGCCCAGGTAAATTACTAATAGTTTCCCTCCAGCGTAGGAGATGTGTCCATTATGTACTATATTCATTAGGATATAAATTCATAAATGAATTCCATACCAAAGTCTTGATTTCAAAGCCTCACAGAACTCTCCCAGATTTCCAGAGAGTTAAACCTTTTGATCAAATAATGCCATGTGTATTTTTGTCTTAGTGCATGAACCTTGGGTTCAGGATCGTGGGGAATAGCTGTAGTTAGCTTGTTAACCTGTTGTGGGAAATCAGGTTTGATTAGAGTTCTTGAATTTGTATGTATGGATGAATTTGTTCGTAAAGTTTTGAGTATTTGTCTGATCTTCAGTTTGTGGAACATATGTGTTAATGACAAGTTTGATGTACTTTTCATATTGAATTCCACTTTTCATTTTTTATCTATCAAGCACAAAATTGAACACATTTTCTGTATCAGGCTCTGTGCTAGAAGACTATAAATGCTTACTTAAATTTGATAAATATGTATTGAATTCCTTGTGCCAGTTTTCTAGTTATTCAGTTAATTTTCTAGTTATTGGGGATATAGTTGTAAATAAAATGGGTTGGTTTTTGCTCTTTGGACATGGAGGATATACTTTTTTAGAAAATGGTGTTGACTCTAGATTTAAAAAATTGTACTTAATTCTTCACTAAGGAGTAAGTCTCTTAATGCAGTTTTTTAATTGTTAGAATTGGTGGATTTGCCCTAAAAAACAAATGCCAAATGTTTTCTTTGAAATAAGGAGAGCAACTAAGAACAGAGTAGGGAGGAAGAGCATGAGAAGAAGATTACCATTAAACAGGGATGAGAGGTGGGAGGGAAAGGGAGAGAGAAGGGAAATTGCATGGAAATGGAAGGAGACCTTCATCGTTACACAAAATTACATATAAAAGGAAATGAGGGGAAAGGGAAAAAAAAAAACAAGGGAGAGAAATGAACTACAGTAGATGGGGTAGAGAGAGAAGATGGGAGGGGAGGGGAGGGGAGGAGGGGATAGTAGAGGATAGGAAGGGCAGCAGAATACAACAGACACTAGTATGGCAGTATGTAAAAACGTGGATGTATAACCAATGTGATTCTGCAGTCTGTATACGGGGTAAAAATGGGAGTTCATAACCCACTTGAATCAAATGTATGAAATATGATATGTCAAGAGCTTTGTAATGTTTTGAACAACTAATAAAAAAAAAGAATTGGTGGATTTTCTCTAAAGTTTTACAGTGTATAAGTTATAGAAATTTGAAATGTAGTTTATTTTTTTATTCAGTTGAAATGCCTTTAATCATGATTATAGTCTATCTTAAGAAATGTTTAGGATATTTTAATATTAATACTAATTTTAATATTAATATGGCAACAAGTATCTTAATTGATGGGAAGCCTAGAAAGATCTTTCATAACACCTAAAAATGACTAACTACATAATGCACATTTTAGGAGATGCAGATTTTTCCCATAATATAGTATTTATTGTTATTGTTTTAACAATTTATTTAATGTCTTTAATGTTAGAGATTTTTTTGACTATTTCACATTTGATTTACTTAGTTAGCTCACTTCAGGACACACCTATTAGAGAGGATGGATTTCCCCTTCAGGGCTCTGATGACATCCTGGTGGTTGGACTGGCAGTATGCTGGGGTGGAAGGGATGCCTATTATGTCTCATTGCAGAAGGAACAAAAGCATTCTGGTAAGTAATCAGTATTTGACTCACTCACCATATAATTAATGAAATATCTGTTAGTGTAGTGATCTTTTGTTGAGAATAATTTCCTGACATTACCTAGGATTTCCTTTTAGGATTAAAAAAAAGTTTATTTAGAGAATAGCTAGTGTGTACAGAATTGCATTCATTAACTCGAAGGATTTTTACCTCCTACAGTGCTGGGGCTTAAACCCAGGACTTGTACCTGGTAGGCAAGTGCTCTATCACTGACGTACACCCAGAGACCACAAGAAGCATTGCCCTGGTAGTCCCCTATCTGTTTTTCTGAGGCTGTTAAGGCTGGACCATAGCAGTTTCTTAGTGTTTCTCTGCGCATTGTTGGGGTCTGGAGCTTGTCCAGAGGCAATGTTGAGCTACACAGATATACTTGATAGTGTTGAATCACACAGCTTTTAGGAGGGACTTCGAAATGGAAGGAATAGGAACTAGAAAAATTCTTTGTGATCTGATAAGGGTTTTGGATAATCAGCTGTTTGGTTGGTTTTGGCCAGAAGAAAAACTAATAAGGATGTCAAATTGTGGGAGGCCATCACGTCATGTGACCAGCGTTTTTCCTCTTCTGATCAGTGGAGGCACTATTGGTCACTCCCCGTGATCTGACCGCTTTTAAGTAGCCGAAGACGTAGCCCCCATCTTGAGAGTAGTAAAAAATGCAACCAAGTGTGTCTTCATGTGTAGGTGTGCCTTCCTGCAGCCCCATGGGTCAAGCTACGCTCACCTGTTCCTTTGTGATATTACTCCTTGCCCTGTTTGGGATAGAATGTTCCATGGAAATCCCCTTTGTGTGTCCCCTTCTCTAACTCTCCCTTGGGTGTGGCCTTCCTAGATGTCAGTCAACCTGCTGACCGCAGACGCCATAAGCTAGACTCAGCCCCTTGAAACCTGACCCCTTGCCTCATTTGAATGGCTTCTCCTCAATAAAAGGGGTCAGCTTGTGCTTGCTCTCTCTCTCTCTTTATATGGACCCTTAAGGTCAGAGGAGCCATCACAGCACCCCAAAGAAAAAGGTATCTCTGTCTCTTGTGTGGTTATTTCGCGTGGCCCAGTTTCCCTGGAGTGACCCCGAATGTTTTAGTCACAAGGAATGGAACATCAGATAGTATTTTTTCCTCAATAAGCATGAAATATTTTCAGTTGTTTTACAGGAAAACAACTTGTTATTTGAAGTTCTCCTTTTATTTTTGACATGACATTATATTATATACCTCCCTTTAAACTCATTTCAAAATACCTATTTTTAACTCCTGAAAAATGTTAACTTGATTTTTTAGAAGTTTTTTTGTTTTTGTACTAGGGATTAAACCCAGAGGTGCTCTATAGCACTGAGCTACATTCCCAGCCCTTTTATTTTTTTAATCTCAAGGTAGAAGTCTTCCTGAGTTGCCCATGCTGACCGTGGACTTGTGATTCTCTTGCCTCAGCCTCTTGAATAGTTGGGATTAGAGAATACCTCTAGAGCACTACCACCATGTCCATCTATTTTAGAAGTCCTGATATTTAGAATTTTGTCCCATATAGTTAAGCAGAGCATTATAAATCTTCTAACCTAAACCATAATTTTACATTACAAAGCACTTCATCTACATATAAGTGCCGCAGTCTGGCTGGGCACAAATGCTGCAGTCTGGCTGGGCACACAATCACGAGCCACCACACAGCTTGTAGATTCAAACAGCAACTCTTTATTCCCTAACTCACACCAGCCGTCTACAATCACGTTCTGGGGAAATCCACGTTCTCTGCCCAAATCCACCTCCACTGGGCTTCTGTCTCCCAAAAAATACTGTCTGAATCCCGTGAGAACTCAAGGGGAACTCAGGCAGCAGGATATGCCCTATTCCCAGCAGGAATAATCTTAAACCTTAAACCTTAAACCTGGAACCTAAACCGGGAACGCCCTAAACCCGATTATCCTAAACCGGGAAGACCCTAATCCCGGATCCGCCCTGGTCCTTGAGCAAGGTCACCTAACTGCAATGTCACTGCAAAATGTCCTATTTCCACGAGTCCTTCCACTAAGCAACATGGGGTACGCTGGCAAGGAAATTGTCATACCTACTTGGCTAATGGCTCCCAGCATATAAGGTCATGCCAAATTTGTGATTACTTGGAACCATATCCTTAGGCTTCTGAGTCTTTTTAGTCTTTCCACTAGAGATTATGGCTTCAAATGAATTTATGTAATTTTTGCACAAAGACTTTCTTTTTCCCCTCTAGAGATTAGTGCCAGTTTGGTACCACCTTCTCTGGATCCAGGTTTGACTGTGAAAGACAGGATGTGGCATCTTCAGTCATGCTTGCAGAAGGAGTCTGATAAGGAACGTTCTGTCATCATCTATGATTTCATCCAGATCTATAAGATTCTTCTTCAGTCATGTGGCATCTCTCTGGAACAAAGTTATGAAGACCCTAAGGTTCTATGTTATATTTAATATTTTTGCACTTAAACACTGTTAGTGTTTAGAGTTAATTCTTAAGTGGCATGGTATTTATTTAGCTTCAGTAATTCAGTGTAAATATTTTAGAGAAGTCATTTCTCTATTCACTAATCTCATGCACACATAATATAATATCATAATAGAAATGTCTCTGTGAAGAGAAAAACATAAATGTCACAAATTCTAAACCATAAAATTGATGATTTTGCTTAGAGCTTTTTTTAAAAAATTAATTTTGGTCTTAAGTTATAAGTTTTTGTTCCATGGTAAGTTAAATGAAGAGAAAACTGTTAAAACTATTAGAATTGAGTATGTAAAATCAGGATTTTTCAAGTATTCATGAGGGCAGAGGCAGAAAACAGGAAAAGTACATGAATAAAAGATGCCAAAAGAGAGGATAATTGGGTCCATAGAGGCAAGCCACATTAGTAGTCTCTGAGTGTTGTTCCTTTGTAATAGCAGAGTGTGACACATTCTTCAAAATGATGACCCTGAGTTATCAGGGGTCGCATATGCCATTGTAATATACACTGAGCAGTAAAGTATTCTTTCAGAACACATTTATTTATAATATCTTTAAAGATATATCCTTTCCCGAATCTATTGATACATGAGGTATGCAGTGTTAATTGGAGTTGAAAAATTATACTATTTGACAGTTATCACTAAAATAGTCAATGATAATAAAACGAGTTTCCCATGTGATACTGGGAACCTAGGGCCTTGCACATACTCTGTATTTGCTCTGCCACTAAGCTATGTCCCCAGCCTCAGTTTTTTAGGGTGTTTTTTCCCCTTTTTTCTTTCTTTTTTTTTGGCAGATTTAAAGATTGTCACTTGATTTTGATGTGCTACAATCCAAAACAAGAATATGGGTTATGTGAGCCTCTCATTAAAAATATCCTAGATTTATATAGCACCTTTTTTATAAACTACTTGAAATATTTCATAATCGGTTTTATTGATCACTTTTTAAAATTAGAGAATCATCCATAGTATTTGAGTTCATTTTGACAAAATCATACATGCAAGGAATTTGATTTCAATCCCCATTACCCCCCCACACACTTTTCTTTCCCTCTTGCTTTCCCCCCATTCTTACTCCTCTGCTCTATTATTCTATCCTACATATACACAAAGGTGAAATTTCTTTTGGTACCTTTATATATGAATATAACATGATTCTGTTAAATTTATTTAATTATCTTCCCCTTTCCCTTCCTTCCTCCCTCACTCTCCTCCTCCTTCCACCCCACTGATCTTCCTTGTATCTTTATGATATCTGACCCCTCCCCAACTGCTTTCTTTCCCTTTAGCTCTAGTTTTCACAGATGAGAAAAAGCATTTGACCCTTGGTTTTCTGAGTCTGGTTTATTTCACCTAGCATGATTTTATCCAGTTCCATCCATATACCAGCAGATGCCTGAGTAAAACTCCATGGTTAATGACAACACTTGATATAAGCAGATAAACTATTAATTTTTAAAATTTCATTTGTATAAGAAACCTTAGCCAATTTTTACATTAGATTCTTTTATTCAATATTCTTCAAAAAACCTTTATTCTTAACTTACAAAATAAGTAACTGAGTCATATAGTAAATTTCAGAAGTATTGACAGAGTTTAGATTTTATTTTTCTATATCGAGTTCTGGATCTCCTGGGTCTGCTATTAGAAACTACAATTCTCCTAATTTCATGGGGAAGCCAACCAGTTGGATGGGCCTGGTGACAGACTCCCATGATGAAGGGAAAATATAAAGGCATTCTAAAACTCTGGGTATGAACTTTTAAAAAAATATATTTATTTTTTAGTTCTAGTTGGACACATACCTTTATTTTACTTATTTATTTTTATGTGGTGCTGAGTATCGAACCCAGGGCTTCTCATGTGCTAGGCGAGCGCTCTACCGCTGAGCCCCAGCCCCAGTCCTGGGTATGAACTTTTAATGGTAAAACATATATGCCTCACTCTGATGTTGAAAGAACTAAGTAAACCCCAAATCATACAAACCTATTTTTATTATAGTAAATTAGTTCACTTCAGCCTTGGTGGCGAAGCCTCTATTTTTATTCTCAGGCACATTGTATCAGTTGGCTGAGAGGAACTTGGTTTTCAAACCTGCTTCATAATGAGACACTCAGGAGTGTTGTAATGATGGGAAAGGTATATAACATTTTCTTCTTCGAAGGCCACTGGTGTTATTGGTACCAAAAATGAGACCTGTTACAATTTATGCTTTCCTTCTCCTTTCCCGGGAAGACCACTAAATAAGTGAAAATAAGGGAATTATAAATGAACTTTCTATTTCACCTTTAATTTAAAGGGTTCAGAAATGTCTTTGAAAAAAATCAGGAAAACATTCTGATCCTCTGTCCCATTTAGGTGGCATGCTGGCTACTAGATCCAGATTCTAAGGAACCAACTCTTCATAGCATAGTTACCAGTTTTGTTCCTCATGAGCTCCCGCTCCTAGAAGGATTGGAGACAGGTCAAGGAATTCAAAGCCTGGGGCTGAACGTCAACACTGAGCATTCTGGGCGGTACAGAGCATCAGTAGAGTCCATTCTCACTTTCAGTTCCATGAATCAACTCAATTCTTTGTTGCAGAAGGAAAACCTTCACGGTAAAAATTTCCTGGATTTTTGTTACAGACTGGGGAGTGTCGTGTCTATTTTGATATACTTATAGGAGCATGGAATATAGCTTATTCTAATTAGAACCCCATTCTTGTGGATGTTCATGATGGGAAGATTCACTGTGTTTTATTCATATATATATACACATAGGAAAGTTATGTCAGATTCATTCCACTTTCTTTCCTTTTCCTATCCCCCTTCCCTTCCCTTCAATCCCTGTTTGTCTAATCCACTAAACTTCTATTCTCACCCTGCCAGCCCCTGCTTTATTGTAGGTTAGCTTCCACATATCAGAGAGACATTTGGTTTTTCAGGATTGCCTTATTTCAGTTAGTGTGATAGTCTCCAGATCCATCCACTTACCTGCAAATTCATAAATTCATTCTTCTTTATGGCTAAGTAATATTCCATTCTATAAATTTACACATTTCCTTTATCCATTCATCTGTTGAAGGGCACCTAGATTGGTTCCTTAGCTATTGTGGACTGTGTTGCTGTAAACATTGATGTGGCTGTTTCTCTGTAGTATGCTGATTTTGATTCCTTTGGATATATACCAAGGAGTGAGATAGCTAGATCACATGGTGGTTCCATTCCTAGTTTTCTGAGGAATCTTCATCCTGCTTTCCCAGAGTGGTTGTACTAATTTGTAGTTCCTCCAACAATGTATAAGTGTACCCTCATTGTTGATGAACCTACATTGACACATCATGTTTATACGATTCATGCATATTATAGTACGTTTCTGTGGTTTATTAATTTTTACTGCTGTGTAGTGTGTCACTGTATGAATGTGCCCAAATTTCTCCATTTTCCTAATGATGAACATTTGGATTGTTTCAGTTTTGTTTGTTTTGTTTTGAGTTTCATTTTGCTATAAGTATTTCTATAGGAATATTTTTACACATGTACATTTTCCTGGTATATATGGGCAAGAATTTCTCTTGGGTATGGGCTTGCTGTGTCATGGGAATAGAAATAATCAACAATTCAAGATTCTACTAAACTGTATTCCAGAATGATTATATAAGTTCACTCTCTCAACAGCAATATGTAATGGTGATCACATTCATATTATCTCAACTTTTTCATTTACTTGGTTGTAAAATGATGGTAACTTTTCTTTCTTTTGCCATCTTTTAGTTTTTATAACAAATTTATTCTAGCTTCATGAAATAAGTTGTGAATATAACCTATTTTTATTCTGGAAGAGTTTATGAATTATTGGAATGATGTGTTCCTTGAAAGTTTGGTGAAATTTGCCTATAACTATTTCTCTATGTAAAGATATTTAGTTATATCAGATAACTAAATGTCAATATCAAAGCTGCAACTTTGATTTCTTTAACTGGAGGAATATTGAATTATTTTTTATTGTGTTTTATTATGCCATAAGAATTTATCTGTATTTTCTAGATTTTCAAATTTATTGGCATAAAGCTGTTACTAACTCTCGTTTTTATTTCTATTTCTTGTGAAAAAATTCAATATTTTTACATGTAAAAATGTTAAATACGGGGCTGGGGATGTGGCTCAAGTGGTAGCGCGCTCGCCTAGCATGGGTGAAGCACTGGGTTCGATTCTCGGCACCACATAAAAATAAAATAAAGATATTGTGTCCACCTAAAAGTAAAAAAATAAATATTTTTTTAAAAAAATGTTAAATACAGGGCTGGGGTTGTGGCTCAGTAGTAGAGCGCTTGCCTAGCATGTGTGAGGCACTGGGTTCAATCCTCAGCACCATTAAAAATAAATAAATAAAGTAAAGGTATTGTGTCCAACTACAATTTTAAAAAAGTATCTAAAGAATGTTAAATACATTTTTCATGTGTTTCTCTTTGTTGTGATTATTGATGTGTTTGCACTCTATTTTCCTACTATTCTACAATGTTTTTGTTCACTTTATATTTGTAAATGATTCATGCATAGCTGTGCTCTATTCTGAGGAGTATACATCTGCAATCTTAGAGATCTAAATCTGTTGTTTCTTCTAAGTTGCTGTCTTAGTCATTTTTGTTGTTGTTGTTATTGTGACCAGGATACTGACAGGAACAACTTAGAGAAGGAAAAGTTTATTTTGGCTCATGGTTTCAGTGGTTCATTCCATGGGGGTCAACTCCGTTGGTATGGTGGAGAGGGTGGCAGAGGAAAGTTGTGCAGCTCATGGCAGCTGGGAGGCAGAGAGGAAGAGAGCAGCCAGGAAGACAAGATAGAGTCCTGACGGGCGCTCCCCCAGTCCTATTTCCTCAAGTCATGCCCCACCTGCCTACAGTCACCACCCAGTAATCCATTCTGTTATTAATCCATCAAGTGGATCCCACTGATTAGGTTCCAGCTCTCACGATCTAATTATTTCACCTTTGAACATTCCAGTGTTGTCGGACATGAGCTTTTTTTGTGGGACACCTCATATCTAAACCAAAACAGTCCCATTCCTAACTTCTCTGCTTGTGTATTCCATATTCTTTGTGAGTTCATACAGGATTTCATCAGTGGAACCCTAAGGACTAATTTGGGGGAAGCCTTCCTGTAGAAAGCTTTTGATTCAGTTAATTATACCACATCCAAGGACGACATTAGCCTATCCTGGGGGGTTTGTTTCAGAATAGGAGTCCCAGACTCCTCTTCCTGACACTGTCTCAAGATCTGTAGCCCTTTAACCTCTTTTGCTGTAGGACTCCATCTCCATGACAGCCCTGTTCTTTCTTACTGCCTGTGGATCCAGCCTGGCTCCCTGTCACTATTACTTGGCACTTCCCTGACTGTTCCTATTCTGACCCAAGTTCTTTATTTCATTGATCCTACATCATATAAATTTCTGTTCTAACTCCAAGCCTCAAAAAAGCCAGGCTCTGACTACCCACTAATTTCTCCCGACTGTTAGAGGTCAGAGCTCTCATTTGTTTGCTTGTTTTGGTGGTGACTGTGGGTATCTCTGGAGATCCTTCCCTGCTGATTGAGAACAGCAAGACGTCAAAGAATGTTTACATGTGGAGCTGGGCAGGGTGGGCTGGGGTTGCTCAGAGTTTTAGAAGCGGAAGTCTTCGGAATGGATTTTTCTTGATGATGTAGGACAGCATTTCCCACAGTGCATTCAATGAATACTTACATTTTAGGATATTAATAAGCATTATATGAAATAAAGGGTTTTATGGTTAAGTAACTTCAAGTTGGAATTTGTTTTCTTCAAGTCTTCTCAGAGCCCTTAATGTATTAATAGTTATCATGAATATCTAACAACAGTATATAGATGCAGAAACTCACAATATACAGTATCTAAACTCCACCCTTTTTGTAGAGCATCTTTAGAATTAATATTACAAAAACATACTGGGAAAACTGGTTTAAAATGTCTACTCTGTTGAGAAATGTCTGCATATAGAAAGATGCTGATTTTTTTTTTTTTTTTTTTTTTTTTTTTTTGCCTGTGATTTTACCTGCCTGTTTCATGCTCCTTTGGCACTGCTGCGTGCTTCCTACTGCTCTGCTCTGGAAACTCTTAACAAAGGATGCTGATTTTTATTTCAGAAACATTTCTTTACTATGTGACAAGAGCATTGGAAAATATAAAACATCTATATTTAGTCCTTTGTGCAAGCATTTATTCTGTTGGGACCAGAAATATTGCAAATAATTGTAAAGAATTAACCCTTTGTAGTCAGTTCAGCAAAGAAGGCTGACTGCCTTACTCCTGTGAAGAGTAGAAGTGGAGCTATTGTCTTGGGAGAAATATAGTCTCCTATAATTCAGACTATTCCAGTTCTTGTGCTCTACATACACAAAGATAATAGTTGTTTTGAGAACTTGCTGAGGAGACTGGAATGTGAGACAACTTGGGTAACATCTCTGGATTGTCCTAGACCAATTCTATGTAGTTTAGGCAGTGCTGTAGTCACCTGGGCTGAATTAACATTTAATTCTTATCTTTTTTTTCTTTCAGATATTTTCTGTAAAGTAGAAATGCCTTCTCAATACTGCTTAGCTTTGCTGGAACTCAATGGAATTGGCTTTAGTACTGCAGAATGTGAAAGTCAGAAACATATCATGCAAGCCAAGCTGGATGCAATTGAGACTCAGGCCTATCAACTAGTCGGCCACAGCTTTTCCTTCACCAGTGCGGACGACATTGCTGAGGTAGTATCATGGGAACAGGGAAGTTAGAACATAAGTTTTAGAGTTAAAATGAGGTGTTTGTGTGTATTTACTAAATTTGTTTACCTAAACACTAAAGATCAGTAAAATAAAACAGCTAACCAGAATGCTCTGGGAATCGAATATTCCAGCACCAAATTAACATTTTACTTATGAAACAGGAAAGTAGTAGAGAATACTAGCAGGCATGGTCCAGGACAAGATTTGCCTGGATCACAGGTGGCACCCACTACATATTTGTTGAACAGATGATCAGTCGTGGTAGTCCTGTGACAGAGCAGCTGTTGCTCTATAAAGTTAGTCTTTTTAAAAACTCTCACTCACATCTTTCTTCAGAATAGAAAATTGGGTATTTTTGTGAAATACAAATAAAAAAGGGATTTTGTGACTTTTCTGTTTTGAATCTAGTTAGGATCTTTGTTAATTTATATGAATTTTGACAAAATTTACTTGTTTTATTTTCAAAGGTTGGTGTTCTGTTCTTTTCTCTCATCACACTCCTTTACTGTTAAGGGTGGTCATGTTGTTTTTGAGGGGCTTCAAACACAACTGGTAGTGTGAACCTTCCTGGATCTTGTAGATATGATTCAGTATTGTAGCATGTTGATGAAGATCAAGGCTTGGAAGCCAGACTGTGGGGTTTGAGTCCTGCCTCCTCCATTTACAGCAATTCTTTTTTTTAAAAAAAAATATTTATTTCTTTTAGTTGTACACAATACCTTTGTTTTTATTTATTTATTTTTATGTGGTGCTGAGGATCAAACCCAGGGCCTCGCACGCACTAGGCGAGTGCCCTACCTCTGAGCCCCAGCCCCAGCCCTTACATCAATTCTTTACATCTCAGTTTCTTCTTCATCAGTAAAATGGAGGTTGTTGCGAGTTATAAATGATAAATGTAAAATACTTGGAAGAGTGACCATCACATAGAAATTGAAGTGCCCATTCTTAAACCACAGAGTTACATGTTTTAAAGGAAACAAGGAACTTTGTTTCTCTTAATAATGTAGTCTATCTGTATTGAATTCAGTGATACCTTTTTTCCTTGTGTGTTTGTTATGTTTTCTTTTGAATTCTTTAGCTTAGAAATACTCAAGTGAATACTTAGCTGACTATGCATAAAATTACACAGGGAACTTATTGAAAACATGAAATTTCTGGATTTGGACATAAGCAAGGTTGGGCAGGAACAAAGGCAAGTGAATCATAGGCCTAGACCAAACTCCAGGCTAAAGCAGGAGGCCCTTGCTGTTGTTGGCTCCTCAGGTCTTCATGTTAAAATGGAAATTACCGGAGAGGTAATTTGTATAGAAGCTTTCACAGTTAATTTTGAAGGTTTCACCAAAGAAAGACACTTAAAATAAAGAACTTCTAGATTTCTAATGTTATTACCACAATAAGTCTTCCTGGGATTATTGCTTTATTGTTACTTGAGTAATGCTCCTTTTTTTTTTGGTATTCAGTTATTTGATTTTTTCTCCTATCTAGTCATTTTTATACCCTTTGATATCTGCACTAGGATTTCCTGGTAAAATATAAGCTGCCAAGTTTAAAATATGAATTTCACATACACAGAAAATACTTGAGTAAAACTATAGCCCATGTAATTAAAATTGAACTAGCACCCTATAACTGTATTTGTTCAATGTTGCAACCTCAATTCCTATGCATGCTTATAGCCATATCTGTATAACACAATTCTGTGACTAGTTACCAACACTCATAATCAACCTCAATACCGTTCACTCCTAAGTCCCCCGTAATTGCCTCTACTGTGAACAGGAAGCAGCTCTTGGTTTCTATCAGCACTTCTGTCCTAGGGAAACACAGGCATATCTCTCCCTCCATTCTTGTGCCAACTTGTCCAAAAAAATTCTTGTACTTATGCAGATGGTTTTCAATTTTTTTGAATTATTGCTGAAAAAATATTCCAAGGTTCATTAAATCCTTTCAAGGTATGTAAGTGAGAGTAGACATACTAAATAATGCTCTGAATTGCCTGGATCTTAATCCCTCTAATTTGACTTAGGGTTAGGTTTACCCTGGAACTTTCCTCTGACCCAGAGCCTGGATCCCTGCTCTGTATAGGCCCCGTTTCTTCATGGGTGCTTACTCTTCCCTTCATCATTTCTACATTGTATTGGCCGTCTTCTACTTTTTTGTACCTGGGGACTTCCAGGATCCAGCGTTGTAGTGGTGGGCCTAGATGGCTTTCAGAGCCTTCCCCATAGTGTCCTCTGCTTTTTTGATCTCACAATGGCAGTGTAAGATCCCATGTTGATTTTCTATTTTGGTTAATGACTGAGCAGTCACACTGATTATCACAGCACAAGATACTTAGGAGAGCTCAGAGTCCTCAGAGTAACCTCAAGTCTTAAAGGCAGTAGCGTATTTGCTCTACTATTGAGCTACATCCTCAGCCCTCTCTATTTTTTTTTTTACTGTGAGACAGGGTCTCGCTAATTTGTTCAGCACAGCATATACATGTGCCTGTTTAAAAAGCTTGTATTAGTATTTTTTGAAAGTGCCAAAATTAGAGTATGAACAACTTACCTGATGGTAATTTTCATTACCATCATTTATTAAAAATGATAATTCCAAATTGTCCAAAGAAATGTTCTCCTAACCCATATTAAACTGTAGAGATTGTTTTCTCAAATAACTTTTCAAAACTATTTTCCAAATGACAGTACTGGCAATTTGATTCTTGACTAAAGAAGCATTAATTTCTTTCAGGTTTTATTTTTGGAATTGAAGTTGCCACCAAATGGAGAAATGAAAATCCAAGGCAGCAAGAAAACTTTGGGTTCTACCAGAAGGGGGCATGACGGTGGACGCAAGTTAAGGCTGGGGAGAAGATTCAGCACTAGTAAGGTGCTCTTTGGGGCAGTCACAGAGCAGAATCTGAACTATTTTTAGCATTTTGGTGTCTTGAAAGAATGCTGATGAAATCAAGATCCCGTCCATGTAAACCAGCACTTTAACTTACCCATATGTAAATAAACGAATACTTTATGATTCAGTAGCCCACAAAATCAGTGGAGAAATTTCAGCATAAAAAACTGGGACTGTAATGTGAGTTGTAGTTGTGTCTCTCCTAACATTAAAACAGAGTGAAGGTTTATGCACTCAGATCTACAGACATAATTTAATTATTATTATACTACTCTGGGAGCTCCAGTGTAATTTAACTTGTATAGTTATATGAACATAGAGAATGGTATAGAAGAAGGAAAACTAATTTTTTTTCCAGTTTAAGGACAAAATTTAAGTTTTCTATGAATTTGTTTTGAGAATCAAATCTGCTATTTTCAAAGGAAATTTGTTAATGACAATACATGGAATCTCTATGCATTAGTGGGAGAGAAGAGAGAAAGGGCTTACTTTTATTTTTATTGAAGTTTCAATGGAAAAAATAAGGATAGAAAATGCAGCCACAGAGGCCGTGGAGAGATGTCCAAGTTGCCATTCTGTACAATTTTGACCCTTACATCACTAACTGTGACTTGTGTGCATTTGGGAAGTGTCTGCAGCTCTGTGCTCTATGACTTGATTAGTCTCACGGTCCTTTCACCTCACAAGTTTCTATTTGGTTCATCGAAAGTCCCATGTTGCATGGAAATGCCAAAGTTTTAAAAATAAATCTCTCCTGATTTCCTTGATATGGAAACTGTGTAAGTATCAGGACAAGAAGGAAGACAACTGGGATACTCCCAGTCTTGTAAGGAATGGAGAAAAAAAATATGCAAAGAAAAGAGATGATATAACTTCTTGGTGGGGTGTGGAGTGGGTTTACTTTGTTAAGCTGTGTGAATTTACCCTTTTTAAGCTATCTGAATTGATAGTGCTCAGCATTACTATGTTTGCATTTTATTAACTGTACTTACCATAGTTTTATCAAGATGGTGATGTTTTCCTTTTTTTTTTTTTTTTTTTTCAGTAGTACTGAGGATTGGACCCAGGGTTGCTTTGCCAGTTCTATTTTTTATTTTTTTAATTTTGAGGCAGGGTCTTGCAAAGTTGTCCAGGCTAGTCTTGAACTTGTAATCTTCCTGCCTCAGCCTCCTAAACTCAGGGATTACAGGCACGTGCCACTGTGTCCAATCCACTATTGTGATTTCTAAAACAACCCTATCAGTGATTTTGATTGTGAATATAGGATTTGTCAAACTATTTTTTTTTTCTTTTTGTGGTGCTGGGGATTGAACCCAGGGCCTTGTGCATATGAGACAAGCACTCTACAAAGTGAGCTATATCCCTAGCCCCTCAAAACTAAATTTTAATACTGTATTGTTTACCTAAAAGAGAAACTTGTTTGCTATGGAATTTGGATAAGACTTCAATCTTACCTTGCTTTATTTCTTTGGCAGGATGTTTTAAATAAATTAAAGGCATTACATCCTTTACCAGGCTTGATATTAGAGTGGAGAAGAATCACTAATGCTATTACCAAAGTGGTTTTTCCTCTGCAGCGGGAAAAGCGTCTGAATCCTTTTCTTGGAATGGAAAGAATCTATCCTGTATCACAGTCACACACAGCTACAGGTGATGAGAAATGTTAAATGATTTCCAATTTTAAAATGAAATCAAATTCATATATAACATTTGCTTGTGACGGTCTAGGAATTCAAGTGTTGATCATTGGATTCAATGAAGTTCCACATTATTTATAAAACCTATACTTCCTGCAAAGCATAGCTAGACACCACCTGGATACTTAGATGAGTTTTATTAAGATATATTTCCTGCTTTCAAGAATATATAGAGAATAACTGGTGTCTGACACACGATGTTTTCCCTAAGAGTATACACGGGAATTCAGTACTTGCATCAATGATCTTATCTTACCTTAGTGCCAGCCCTTTCCTGATCCTCTTAAGATTCTTTCCTTCAACCATCATGGAGATTCCTCAGAAAACTAGGAATGGAAATACCATATGACCCAGCTATCCCACGCCTTGGTACTTATCCAAAAAACCCTAAAATCAGCACACTATAGCAATGTGGACACCTCAATGTTTGTGGCAGCCCAATGCACAATAGCCAAATTATGAAATCCACCCAGATGCCTGTCAATAGATGAATGGATTAAGAAACGGTGGTCTGTATACATAATGGAGTTCTGCTCAGCCATACAGAACAATGAAACCATGGCATTTGCTGGTAAATGGATGGAAATGGTGAACATCATGCTGAGTGAAATATGCCAGACCCAAATACTCAGAGGTCGAATGTTTACTCTCACATGTGGAAATTATTTTAAAATTAAGGAAAAGAGGGAGGATAGGATATAGGGAAGATCAGAGAAGAAGGTGATCAAGTGGCAGAGTGGAGGGAATGGGAAAGGGAAGGAAATGCAGAACGAATTCTTAAAAAATAATGTTATGTGTGTCTATAAATATACCCCAGGGAAATCCACCTTTATGTGTAAATATAAAGAACCAATCCAAAATAAATAAATAGATGAGCGAAAGGAAGTCCTTATAGTTGAGGAAGGAGAAAAAGGAATGGGGGTGGAGGTGGGGAGAACAGGAGGGAAAAGGGGGAGTATATGAACTGAAACTGAATTCCTTGCATGTATGATTTTGTCGGGATGAACCCAACTTCCATGTATAACTATAACACTCTAATAAAACAGAAGGAAAGAGCTGAAGCTCAGTAGGCCTCTGGGGCACCTGTGTAATAAGTGTCTTACTTTCTGAAGTGGGAAGGAAAGCTGTAGAGTCCTTTGGGTGTCTCATGTCCTCCTAAAATAAGTATGCATATAATCTGATGAAGAAAAGAAGCACTCTTTCTATAGGCAATACAAAACTTTACTTGCCAAACATGATGTGCAATGGAAGAAAGGACAGTTATAAACTTGTTCACAGATTGCCCCCATTTTTCTGACTGTGGGTTACAGTGCAGGTGAGGTGACTGCAAACAGAGTCCACCAGTTTCCTGGAGTTGAGCTGATGTAGACGGCTATCTAGGGGAGGCCCAGGTGTTCAGACTTCTCAGGACAGAGTACTGAAGAAGACAGAGCTATACAGCAGCCAGCTCTGGAGATTTGCATGGGGTCCTCTGGGTCATTAGCTGAGCAAGGATCAGCACAGGCCTGTGAGGAAGCTGCCAGAAACCAGGGAGAGAATCCCCTGAAAGAATCAGAGGAAATTATTTCTGGTTTTGCCCAGAGCGAGAAACTATTCCTGTGCCAGAGAGCCAAACTGGCAAACCTCATGCTCCTGGGGCACGAATGCTTCCATCTTAGGTCCGTGTTCAGCTCTAGACTCAGGGTTGCCTGATCCAGCCGAGCAGGCTTAGAAGTAAGAACCAAAGCCTCAGATCTCTTCCGATCAAATCCTTTGCCTATATATATATATTTTTTTTTTCCAGTTGGATTTTGTTTTCTTTTACTGAGTTTTAAGAGCCCTTCAGATACTCTTAATTCAAGACATAATATGTGGTTTGCAAAAAAAAAAACAAAAAACTATTTAAATAATGGGTCTGATAATATTTTAAAATGTGCTTCTTAAAGTCATTTTAGTATTAACCTACTACATTTTCAAGGAAAATAAATTTGAAATTAGGTTTGTGACTGCCTTTATTTCACACAAGCTCATGAATGTTTTTAATTATGATATATATCATTTTTACAGAAATGTATAATGTATACATATATATATTTCAAAAATGACTTATTCATAGAGGCGGCAGTTTTGACTGGTGATATGGAATATGGGCTCTGAATCAGAAATCACAGTTTGAATCCTGGTGCTGTGAATCTTTAGACAGGTGCTTCCTGCCTCAGTGCCTTAAGTTTTTTGCTATATAAAAGAAAGTCAGAACAGTCCTGCCTCACTGGTCATTCTGAGGATTAAGTAGGTTAATTCTGCTGAGTGCTTAGACTAGCAGATGCTTCTGGAAAAGTGCTTGGTATTAGTTCCTCTGTTATTTTTTTCCATATTGCCACATTTTTATTTGGTCCAGTATGTTTTAACATGCACAACCTTATATACAACAAAATAAAAACCATCTCTAATCCTACCATCAGCACTTGTAAATCTTTTTGTTAATTTTATTTTTGATTAGCATGTATTATACATATTAATGGGTTAAGTATGATATTTGACTACATGTACACTATGATCACTTATCTACCCTTTCCCCTTCCCAGTCTCTGATAATCACTATTATATATTCAGATTGACTTTTTTTTTTAAAAAAAAAAAAAACACACCCGAGAGAGAAGATATGGTACTTGTCTTTGTGTCTGGCTTATTTCACTCAACATGGTCTCTTACAGTTGCTAAACTATTTAAAGTGGAGACACCAAGAGGAGCTCTCGCCTTCCCTCCCTGGCCTTATTCTTTGTTTTAAACAACTTTCTCTTTTCCTTTGTGTCTATTAAGCTATCCTCTTGGTCCTTTCTAGCAATTTCTTTTGGTATTTAAATATCACTTTGGAACACTTGCTAATGCTTTATAAATTTGTGTAAAATACTTGGTGATAAAACAAAAGCACCCTACGGTTTTCAAAGATGTTACACATTTATTTGTTGCTCATAAAGCAGAAGGTAGTCAATTCTGTTTCTATTATTGATTTTAGAAATAATATATTTTAATAATGTATAATTTTATAATAATATTTTAGAAATGTAAGCTTACCTAAGCATGGCAAAACTATTTCATGATTAGAATTCACTTTCACTAAGCTATTTGCATGTTGTATAATTTATTTTTAGAATCTTTTTTTGTCTGCCAGTGTTACCTTATTAATTCAACTAATAGGCCAAGGCAGCGTGCTAAATATGAACTATATTCTAGAAAAGAAGAAAGTGTGCTGAGGTAGAAAGAGCCTTGGATGCCTGCCTTTGCTATTTGCTAGCTTTGTGACACAAAAGGGGACATTTAATAATAACAATTATATTTCAAGCTACCATTAATTAAACACTTATTTTGTGCTAAAAGTTAGATAAAAAGAATACAAAATTAGGTTTTTATTCAGAAAAATGATGTCTAAGGCACTCAAAATGTCCAATTCATCAGAAGAAGATTAAATTACTTACAGCAGCTACTAGAAGAGCCCATTACAGGGAATAGTTCATCATAGAGGATTTTAATGTTGCTAATGGCAAGAACAAAATTAATGGCCCAAATACTTTTTATATGTTTTAAAGAAGTTCAATCAATAATAAACAAACTATTAAAATTTGTGTGTGTGGGGGGGAATAAAGGCTTTATAATCATTTAAAAACAGTTATTTACTAGAAACACCTGATTCTAGTCTCCAGCCAGGTCAGTACTATTGTTTTCTTGAATGATAGTGCTGATGAGAAAACCATCCAGGAGGTGTCTGAAAGTGAGGTCCAGTTGCCCCTCACTGCTACTCCTGCGCGTAGTGCCCTGCCGTGGTGACATTGTTCTCCAGGGTCCAGCTGCTCTTCTGCTGTCCACACTCCTCTCTGGCCTGTGCACCCTGGCTTGACAACTCCGACGTTCGTTCCTGCTAAGGTCTATTTGAGTTGCCTGGACTCATTCCTGTGCTTGCTAACCTGTTGTGCTGACACTGGGCACTCATTTTAGCACAGGAATAGTTCAGTTTATCAGTTTGCATGGGATCACTTTTCCAGGGAGCTAAGTGAATGTAGAACACAGGCATTTATTTTGGAATGGTTTTGTACTTATGTTATCATTGTTAGATGCATGAAAATGATGAAAATTTTCATTTGTTCTAAATTTAGTTTATCATTGATAGAGCATGCATTTTAAAGGATAATTCAGAAATGCAAGGCTGATTAATTTTTTTTTTCTAATTTTATGTCTTTCTCCTGCTTGATTTTAGGACGAATAACTTTTACAGAACCAAATATCCAGAACGTGCCAAGGGATTTTGAGATCAAAATGCCAACACTAGTAGAGGAAAGCCCTCCTTCCCAGGCCCCAGGGAAAAGCCTGCTTCTCACCGGCAGGTAAGCTCTGTTTCTCTGTATTGGTATTAATACCCTTTTGTGAGTATGAATGGCAAAAATAGCCTCTTATACAAAATAATGAAATGAGTTTAAATTTTGAGTTCTAGACATACCCATTTTTTCTAGGTGCTACCATTTTAAATCCTGAGTTTGTCTGTAGAAAAGCTATTTGATAGTGGGAGGCTGAAAACCCGGGCCATTAATTGAATCAACCAGCAGTTAATCTGACTTTAATTCAGATCCTGAAGGGAAGAGGTTAGCAATGCCAGCAGTACCTGCCCTGCCCCTCCTGTACGCACATGATAGGAAGAAACAGCACTGATAGTTTATGAGATATAGTCAGAGATTTGTTGAGTTAATTTAGAGTCAGTTGTCTCAGAATTGGCTTGTGGAAAGGACTGTTTGTAGAAATGTCACACATCACACTTAATGTTAATCAAATATTTGCCAAAACCTGTTAAGTTTAAAAGTGAGTTCAGGTTGGGTTGTTTTTAAGTTTCTTAAACAGAAATATTGACTGGACTGAAAAACTGGACCTTTCATATTTTTGAGATGCTTCATGTTCAGTTGATGATGTTGTTTGTAACCACAGAGGACAAAATAAGAAGAATTGCGTCCCAAACCCTGGACACCAGGCACAGATGGGCAAGAAAGCTGCAGACAGAGGGATGCCGTTTGCGGTGAGCATGCGACATGCCTTCATCCCTTTTCCAGGTAACGGATTTTGAGCTTCTCATTGCTGTGGGAATTTTTTCAAATCACTGAAGCTGTCCCTGGGACTCAGGGACATTGACCCCTTGTCGTTCCTCTCTGCAGTGGAGCTCATCTTCCCAGGTTTTGCCAGGCTGATGGCTGTCGTTTATCATTGCCTTCATGATTTGCCCTCTGTGCAACTTCTTTGGTGTAGCTCAGTGGCAGCTGTCTGCTGAAATCATGGATTCTGAGGCCATCGAAAACTCTTTGCTGAATCCAGTGGATTTTGCCAGTCCTCATCCTCTTGCACTTCCCTGTAGCATTTGTTCCTGTTCATCAACTCTCCGCTTCCTGACTCTCTCTCCTCCTCTGACTTCTAAGAGCACAGATTTTATTGTTTTGGTCTCTCTGACTTGTTTGCTCCCATGTTTCTTCTCCCTTTTTGCCTACTGCTGCTTCCTGTGGCATGGGGTCACCCCCAGGCTGTCCTTATGCTGCCTGACCTCAGTCTCTAGCCATTGACCTATTTGTCATTAAGACATGTGGAAGTCCTGTGGAACTCCTGAGTCCTCCCAGCTTTTAGCATGCATGTTTACTCTTGATGTTTTACAAGGTGGCCACCCCGGGTGAGTGTGATGAACCCTCTGAATTTATCTTCAATTCTGTCAGAAACTTGAGGTCCATAGGTGAACTTGAGGTCTGTGATAACACAACCTGCTCTGCAATTTTCAGTTTCATTTTTTAAGTATGATCTACCGGCGTACAAAGTTTAGACCTAACCAATGGAGTTTTTAGAGCTCTTTATTTGAGCTGATTGGTGACTTCTTATGGAGACATGCAGTCCTGAGTGTCTTCTTTTAGTTCAAGGACCAGAGTGTGGCTGGATTTAAAAGCATTGTCGATTGATAGGAATGTAGTGTGAGGCACATCAGAATTTGAAAATTTTTAGTAGCCACGTTGTGAAGACTTCTCCAGTTCCAGCATTTGAAATGAGCCTTTTTTCTTTTCATTTTCATCTGTCCACCATTTTTTTTTTCTTTGTGCTTCAATGGGATAATTTCTATTGACTGTTTGATGTTCACTGATCTTTTCTTCTATGGTGTCTAATCATTGTCACAGCTTTCTGATCAATTTTACATTTCAGATATTGTATGTATTTTCACCTTTAGCATTTTCAGTTGGTTCTTTTTGTAGTTTTCATTACTTTATTGCAATTCACTATTTCATCATTATGTTCTCTAAATTCCTGGATATATTTTGATAACTTTTAAAAATTCCATCATCTCTGATTTCCTGGTCACTTTTCTATTGATTGAATTCTCTCCTGCTCAGTTACTTTTACTCTCCATAAGTGTACTGATTTTTTGGTGTTGTGTCTGGACATTATGGTTTCTACCTTGTTAACTCTTTGGATTTTTTAGTTTTCACTAATAGGATATACATTTTTGTTCTGGCGAGCAATATACTTTCAATCTTGAACATTTTGAGTCTCCACTCACCAATTCTAAATTCTAGTGCCTCACAGGCCCAAACTCTAGTCTGTTTCCTTAGCTCAGAAGGAATTGTGCTTTGCTTCAGCTCCAGGTCCTTCAGTACATCAGGGGAAATGTCTCCATTCAGAAACCTGAGACAGTTGTATGGCCCACCTCATGTCCCTCCCTTCTCTGTGCTAATAGTGGGGCAGTGCCTGTTGTTTAACCTCTCAGAACAATTATTTCATAGAAATAACTGCACCTAAGAGTATCCTGAATACCTTGCCAATATTTCTTTAGCAAATATAAGCAAATATGAATATGTAATCTTTTTCCCCCTGTTGCAAAAATTAGCATTCCATTTATACTGTTGTCTGGGTTTTTCAATAAAAATTTTACATTAGATTAGGTTGTGCATATCAGTAAAGAAATTTGAATACGAGCTGGTTTATTCCATGTGTGGGTAATCTGTGCAGCAATCTGTCAGTTTGTTTGGTGAGTCACAGACCTGTTTAATTTTGATAGATATTGTCAAATTGTCATCATATGAGGAGGTCAGCATTTTACTTCCTGGGAACATCTCAGTGTTTCTTTCTCTATAGCCAGAGTGTATTGTCCAAACTTCCATTTTTTTGCAATTTAAGGGAAGAAAATTTGTTTTTGCTAGATTTAGTTTCAATTTCTCTTATTATGAATGAAGATGAACATTCTTTAGTATGTTTAAAATTCTTTAGTTTTGGTTATTTCTGTGAACTGTTTACTTGTATTTTGTCTGTTCTTGATCTGTAGCAACTCTTTTTTTTTTTTTAATATGGCAGTGATTCTTTTATGATAGCAAAATTTAAGAAAAATTTTTTTACCCTGCTTTTATTTTTTTATCTTATTTTTTTTAAAGGAGAGAGAGAGAGAGAGAGAGAGAGAGAGAGAGAGAGAGAGAGAGAGAGAGAGAGAAAATCTTTTTTTTTTTTTTTTTTTTGTAAATGGACACAACACAATGCCTTTATTTTTATGTGGTGCTGAGAATCGAACCCGGGTCCCGCCCATGCTAAGTGAGAGCTCTACCGCTGAGCCACAATCCCAGCCCAACACTGCTTTTATTTTTTGATTTTGTTTTTGCTATGTATGTATGAGCCACTCATTTCTACTCCATAGGTAAATTATCTTAATCCTTTTAATAACTCTTCCTTACTTATTGACCACTTGATGTTTTTCATTACATGTCTACTATTGAAGCAAAGTACATTTCTCTCAGCCCACTTAATATATTCACTCATTAGACAGTTTCTCCATTAGTTAATTAATAATTAATTCAACAACTATTCTTCTTATGTACCAGAAACTGCAAATATTTCCATAGAATGAAAAGAAAATATAAGTCTTCTATTCATAAGGACCCAGTGCCATGTGAGTGAGGCATGAAAGAGCCATTTTATATTGTGCCAGGTGCTATGGCAGCACTGAGGAAAGCACTGCTTTGTGCTTAGAGGACAGATGTCAGGGTAGCTTTACACATATTACATATACTTGAAAGCTAAACAGAAAAAAATGATCTAATATACAGAACCAAATTGCATTATACTGAAAAAACTTTTGAACACATGAACTCAAAGTTCTAAATGAGAACTTGTATAGAGGTTATACAAAAAAACAAACAGAAATCCTGGAAATGAAGGAAATTATAAACCAAATTAAAAACTCAAATGAGAGTATCACCAGTAGAGTACACCAATTAGAAGTCAGAACATCAGACAACGAAGACAAAATATATCATCTCGAAAAGAGTCTTGTACTAGCTTTTTAAAGATCATTTCTATTTCAGGTGGCTTAATATTGGCTGCTGATTATTCTCAGCTTGAACTGAGAATCTTGGCTCATTTATCTCAAGATTATCGTCTCATTCATGTGTTAAACACTGGAGCTGATGTTTTCAGGAGCATCGCAGCAGAATGGAAGATGATAGACCCACAGTCTGTTGGAGATGATCTGAGGCAACAAGCAAAACAGGTGATCCTGGTAGACATGTTAATATAAATGGGAAGGATTTAGTGGTTCAAAAAGTTTTAAGTGATTTTAATTATTTTCAGTTTAAGAACCATTTTTCTGTCTTTTCATCTTTTCAACCGCATTCAATACTCATCTCATGGTATTCATTACACTTTCCTTTGTAAAAATAATAGAAAGAATGAGATGGACTAAGATCTGAGGCCACTCTGTGTCAGAATGGCATGTGTATTTAAGACCATAATATGGCTAGTCAGAGCACCTGGTATTTAGTACAAGCTCATTTAAAAGTGATGTATTTCATTGTGTTTATGGTTGTATGTTTTTATTTTATGGTTGTATGTTTATATTTTAAACCTCTTTCTAGTCAGTAAATGTCCTGATATCAAGTTCCATATTTTCATTTTTACTTGCCCACAGCAAGTATTATTTCTATACATTGTATAGAAAGTGCTCTCAAATATTTTTTGAGAAAATATGGTTGAGCTGTGGATTACAATTAATGACTGATTGTGTTTTAGCTTTTTGAGGACTGTGAACCTTCATGCTGACTTATATCTCTGAAGTGGATCCATGCAAATTCCTACTCCTGCTTGAGAAGGTCAAAGCCACACTTACACACTTCCTAGCCTGTATCAACACTGACACTTCTTACCAAGTGCCCTGTGGGGCATCTGACCCATTCTCCAGAGAGCAGGATTGTTGGCTAAGAGGCATACCCCAGCTCTAAGGCCTTCTGTGTTCATTTTACATTTGCACTTCCAGTTACTTACTGCTGAAATGCTTACCAATCCATGAGTATCACTGTCTTCATTTTGTGGATGAAGAAATAAAATACAAAGAGGTTAGATGGCTAGTGCAAGATTTATGTCTTGTGAATGGTGGAAGTAGGTGTGAACCCAGGCAGTAATTATTATCAATTAATATCAATCAGAGTTTCTTTAGTGGCCTCACCTAGACCATTCTCCTGCACTGCTCCCCAATTTCCTCAGGAGTTTTTATTTGTTTTTAACTCGGACAAATTCTGCATTTGTGGGATTTCAGGAGGCTGTGAGTTGAGGAAGGTATTTATTTCCAGGAATCACTTACTCTCTTCCTTTACTCATTCCAGCCCCTCAAAAGGTGATGCCAAAAGGCAGTAAAGATGTTCAGTGGATATTAGCCTCTGTGAATTTAAACCATTAAAGCATATCTCATCATTTCTTTGATCCACCATGAAATAAAAAAAAAATTTACAAAAATTCTAATCCTAATGAACTCTGTATTTGCACTTTATGTAGTTATGACTTTTAATTTACTTTTTAAGTGTGATGACTCCTTTTCAGATTTGCTATGGAATCATTTATGGGATGGGAGCTAAATCTCTAGGAGAGCAGATGGGCATTAAAGAAGAAGATGCTTCTTGCTATATTGACTCCTTCAAGTCCAGGTACACAGGTGAGGAGCTTGAGTGCTGATTCCCCTCTCTGCCACCTAGCTGACCATGTTAGATTAACTTAAATTAAAGTCAAGTTGCAGGCTTTTCTATTAAAATCTCTTCTTAATCAAAAGTTTTCATCAGACATTGTTAGAGGCAAATAACATTAACCTTACTTATGATTTTTTAATATAATATACTTTTTTTTTCTTTCCATAAAAGGGACAGATACAGAATAGCAAAATACAGTTGCTGAATATGCTACTGTGTCATTGTGTTTGGGACTTGAGCTAGGGGCTTAGATAGCATTAGTTTGAAACAATAAGCCATGGATTAAATGTACTAGGAACTCAAAAATGGATAGTAGTGTTAAGAATCTGGTGGATTTTTGTATATTTTACTATGTCTATTGAAACCAATGAATGAAATTAAGGATGGACTTTGGTTGTTAGTTATTTCTATATTTTCTTTCTTAGGGATTAATCATTTCATGAAAGAGACAGTGAAGAATTGTAAAAGAGATGGCTTTGTTCAGACCATTTTGGGAAGGCGAAGATACTTGCCAGGAATCAAAGACAACAACCCTTATCATAAAGCTCATGTATGTTGAAGTTTCTCTGATTTTTAACTTCATATTTCAATGACATGTAGTTTTTCAACAAAGGCTAAGTACTACTAATGTCCCTTTTTAGGAACACTAGACTATTAATTGGATCTTTTGAATCAACAAGGGTAATCATTGATTTTATTGATGACTTCTGCATTGATAACTATAGAACTTTTCTAACCTTATTCCTTTTATTGCTTTTGCTTGACTTCCTGGCTAGGACAATGTAAAATAGAAGTAGGGCAGTGTTCCAAAGAAGTGTGTTTGCCTCCTTTCATATTCAGAGGGAAAAATGTAAGCATATTACCCATGAAGAGAACTTTCCTTGACATTTTTGATGGTGCCTGCATCAGATAAAGGAAATGCTAATAGGCTGTAGATTCTGGGTCACAACTCTTCAACCCTCTGGTGTAGTACAAAAGATGTCACAGATAATACATGAATGAGTGAGGCTGTGTTCCAAGAAAAGTTTATCTGTAGAAATAGAAGGTGGTCTAGATTTGGTCTGCAGACCAGTTTGCTGATCCTTTTTTAAATTGTTGCTTCATTGATTATAATTTGCCTGTTTTTCCCTTCAGTGGTTTTCAGTATATTTTTCTTTCTGTCTGATTTTGACCATATTTTCTGCCCTGTGCCTAAGACTGTGTGGTTTTTAATTGTGTTTGTATTGTGGGGAGGGCTAATTGAGGCTTCCTGAATTTGTGGCTTGATAGGTTCTGACTTTTTAAAACTGTTAAACATTACTTTAACTACTATTTCATCATATTCTTTCCTCTTTTTTCTAGAACTCCTGTTATAAATTATAAGCTTATTTTTTTCAATCCCTTATGTTTCATATTCTTTGTTCTGTATTTTCCACATTTACATTTCATCATACTTTATTCTGAATTTTTTAATTTTTTAAATAAATGCATTCTGAATATTTCTAATTTAGTTTTCACTTTACTGATTGATTCATTGATGTGCTGATTAAAATACCTATTGAGTGTTTTTTAATGTTTTTAGTTCTAGAATTTGTTTTGTTCTCATTTTATGGTATATCACCCTCTGATGAAAAGTTCAAATTTTTTTCTTATGTCCTTGAATATATCAAACAGGATTATAGAGTTAACTAAGTTTGATAATAGTTGATCAACTGGTGAATCTCAGATCCTTGTACTCTGTTCTTTTTGCCTTTTGTTTTTCTTAGTTTTCCATAAAAAGTTATATTGTCTTAATTTCTTATTGTCCTGGTTAGTTTTACTGAGTGTTAAGCATTGTATATTGGAAGATTGAGGAATTTGTTTGATGATTTTGCTTTCATTCAGAGAAAGTGTACCATTGCTTCTTGCAGGAGGACCAGAGACCAACAATATAGGATTACCCTAGAGACAGAAATGATTTGAAGCAAAATGGCAGGGTCACACTATTTCAATTTATCTTTTTTTCCTTGAGAATTGGTTTTGGGTTGCAACCTGATGATTACCAGGTCCTTTTATACTTGGGGGGCCCTGAACTCAAATATTTGTTTCCTTAAAATCCTAAAGACTAAGAGTTCTGCTCAGCTTTTTAGCTTCTCAGCTTCTGCTTCTAGAATATTTTTGTTCCTCTGGGAGAAATGAGAGTCTCCAATGCCAGGATCTCTTCCTTTTGTTTTCTTTCTCTCCTAGTTCTCTAGTTTCTAGATTTTTTTTTTTTTTAACCTGCTTTCACCTGACTCATTCAGAGAGGCTTTTTCTGACTACCTTTTTCAGTAGAGATACTGTCAGTGGGAGGATTGGTCTTAATGGCCAACTCTTCCATTTCCAGAAGACCACATTTTTTTTTTATGTAGATTAAAAAAAATACTGGTAATGAAAGCACTGAACTTTGTGGGACCCAGCCCAAACTGCCAAGTTTCCTTAATTTGGAAGAGAATTAGAGAAGTAACAACGTCATAAATTATATATTATTTGTTTCTGTGCTTGCTTAGGGAAATCATCCCCCAAATTTCAGTGGGTTAAATCAAGGTTTATTGTGCATTCATGTTACAGTTTGGCTGCATGGTGATCATGGCTTTGCTCCACATTTTCTTCATTCTGGAATGAAGTCTTTACCTGGGATATACCCCCTTTTTTGTGTGTGTGGTAGGGTTGTGTGTCAGTCTCACATTTCATTGGCCAAAACTAGCATAGGCTGTCCTTTTATAGGGGACAGCACTTGAAATTGCATGGGTATGGGTGGGGAATTGTAATTGATAGAAAGGCAGCAAGGAATCATGACAGGAAATGTCTAGTTTCAAGGAGCAAGAGTCAGTATAACTGAAATTATTCAGTCACTCTTTAAACAGTGACAACCAAGTTTACAGTGGATTCATTAGCATTCGACAAGCAACAAGTTACTTTCTTTAATTTTTCTTTTTTTTTAAGGTATACCTCTTCAACATTTATTTAACCTCCTAAAAGTTGTTTGTAGGCCAGGTGGCAGGGAACTTGAGAGGAACTCTGAGTTACATTGAGTAGACACCTGCCATTTGTTTTTTAGAAATTTTGGGGCATCAGAAGTGATATTCATGGAGAGGTTATACCAAATATTAACTCAGGTCTCTTCCCCTATTGTTCTGGTATAATTATTTTTAGCAGCCATAATTGCCCAGCCAAGAAGCTCCTGGCAGCAATCATTTCCGGAAAGTTTTAAGGTATCACCAAGAGATCCAAGATCTGCACTTTCTCTAGCAGCTAATGTAGCCATGTAGCCTCAGCAGCCAATAAAAAGCACTGATTCTTATCAGCTGGAGCCAAACACAATTAAGGACCAACAGGCCAGTAGTATGGGGGATGTGCTTCCGTCACACAGCACAAAGAATGATACTCTACTTACATCTATAAGATTAAGAGTATTTTGAGGAGTAGCTGGGTACAGCGTTGCACCTCGAGAGGCTAAGGCAGGAGGATGGCAAGTTTGGGGCCACTCTGGTCAACTTAGCAAAATCCTTGTCTCAAAATTAAAAGTCTGGAATGTAGCCTAATGGTGGATTGCCACTGAGTTCAATCCTCAGAACTGTTTAAAAAAAAGAAGAAGCAGCAGCAAAAGAAAAAGTACTTTGAGGAATAAATCTTTTAGAGAGGAGTTTAGAATAGCTAGAACACTGATGGCATATTTTTCTAAGACAAAACGATTTTGAGTTACTGAATACATTCTAAATACTATGCAGATTTGGGGTCCTAGTTGAGTACTGAAGATTTCTAAACTGAAACAACCTGACTTTTTACACTTAGTCTAAAGGAAATGTGTGGCCACTACAGAATCTAAAGCCATGGATCATTGTGGTTGTTATTCTTAGGATGCAGCCTAATAGTTGACGTTCTGGGTCATGTCTCAGTCCAAATTTCCATTCTGACAGCAAATATGAATACTGATCTGTGAACACTCAGGTCAAGCAGAAAACCATGTTGGTGCATCTGATAGAGCACCTGTTGTTGTATTTTATAGGCTGAGCGTCAAGCCATCAACACTACAGTCCAAGGATCAGCGGCTGATATAGTCAAAATAGCCACCGTTAACATTCAGAAGCAGCTAGAGACCCTCCACTCAACCTTCAAGTCCCATGGCCATCGGGAGGGTAAGCTCCAAATCAATAGAACAGGATTGTCCCTTGATGGAGGCCCTACTATAACATGGTGAAAACAATATTATCAGAAAAAAGGGAAGTTTTTTATATTTTATTTCTCAGCAGTTCTCAATGTCTTCATACTCTTTGAAATTATTAAGGATCCCAAATAATTTTTGTTTATGTGGGTTATACGTACTGTATTTACCATATTAAAAATCAAAGCAGGGAATGTTACTTTTCTCTTTCCACATTTTTATTGGTGCATTATAGCTGTACATAATGATGGGATTTGTTGTGACATATTTATACATGTGTACCATATAACAATATAATTTAGCCAATATCACTCCCCAACACTTTCCTCCTCCTTCCCCTCCTCCCACCTCTTGGTCCCTTTCCTCTACAGAGCTCCCTTTGCTTTTCATGAGATCCCACCCTACCCCCTCCTTTCTTTTCCTTTTTCCTCTGAGTTTGGCTTATTTTGCTTAACATAATGGTCTCCAGTGATAGGCCACCTAGATATGTCATTGAAGATGAGTTATGGTGTCATATGCGGTTAAAGATAGCCACAGATTGGGACCATCAAAAGGAGGCTATCCCAGGGCACAATGACATGCTACTCATTTTTCCTGATTTTTCCTGAGGTAGGATTATTACCAAAGAGAAAACTGCAAGGGATGTTCTGCCAGAACAGAGGAGGCTTCTTCATCCTTCAACTTCATGATGAACTTTTATATGAAGTGGCAGAAGAGGATGTTGTTCAGGTATTTTTGCAGAGTGTGGTTCACTCCATAGGGAGCTAAACCTCTTGGGTGAGGCCACTTGCTTTTTCCTGTGCATGAGGTTTTGGGGGCCCTTCACGGGCTGCAGGGTGGCTAGATGCTTGTTGAGTCCTTACAGCTACAGAAGGAGCTAAGAGTGCTCAGTTTCATACTTAATCTTAAAAGTAAAGAAATCCCTGATGCTGGGATAATTTTGTTAGGATAAGCTAACAATTTGGAGTCTTGCCCTGAGGGTTTCCAAGCTCTGAATGTTCTAGCTAAAGCTGTCAGGCCTCCTGCCCATCAGTGAAGGGCCTTTTGAGATTCCTGGCTCTTTTCTGATTGTGTTTTAAGCACCTTTGGTTTATCACCATGTCAGTGGATGGGTTGGGAAACAGCCTTTGACCTGACAGAGTTTGTTAACCTCAAAAAATTGTTTTCTTTTGTAGGTAGCTCAGATCGTCAAGAAGGAAATGGAGAGTGCCATAAAGCTTTCTGTGAAATTGAAAGTGAAAGTGAAAATAGGTGCTAGCTGGGGAGAGCTGAAGGACTTTGATATATAACCTTGCAGTTGACTAAGCCCCAGGGAAGCCTGGTTCAGATATTGTCACCTGGGAAGAACAGAGACTGCCCTTTCACCTACTTCATGAACACAAATTCTCAGGTCTTGATAGATTTAGGATAATTTTGTAGTGAGGGTCTTTCTCTACAACAGTAAAAAAGATGTTGAGGGTAGGGAGGAGGGTAATATACCAAGTTCAGTGATTATATTCACTCTGAAAGAATACCTGTGGATTAGCCTTTTATAATTTATTGTGGCTTTAAACAGGTTCCAAACGTATGCTTGAAATATGCACTTAGCACTTAAGCTCCTTATCTACCTGGTTGAATAGGAAACCTCAGCCACAGCCTTAGAGGCATCCTCAGGGGTCCTGGAATCAGGCTCCCCTGGTACAGACCCATCAGGGACCAGTCGGACGAGGATGGCGTTCCATGTACACCACCAGGGTTCAGCACTGTGTGTGATGTTTTTCCTCCAATATTAATTTAAAAGACTAAGGAAATAGTATTTTAAATTAGCATGGCTAATAAATTATGAATTCCATGAAGTAGGAAGACTTGGAATAGTTGGAACCTAAGAATGAATTTTTATGAAATGTTTATTCTTCTCTAGTTGGTAGAAGGAAAACATTTCCAATACTTATATATGCATTATAAAATGAGCTGTACCTCTTCACAGGCACGTCCTGTTCTGTAAGATTAGATTTATTGCAGCTGAGCATAGCACTGCCCCTGTGACATGGGGAGAATACGCCTGCCGCAAAGACTGAACTTTGTAATCCCAGTCAGAAGTATAGAACTGATCTGTTTTTGTTTTTTTTTGTTGTTGTTGTTGTTGACATAAAATGAATTTATGAGAAACTTCTTAAGAGTGGTTCCTTTTATTAAAAATTTTATTTGGTGTAAGAGTATCAGAAACCTGTGTCCCTTATTTACTCTTTCTGTAGCTTGTTCAACAGTGAGCATACAACAAGCATTTATTCTATTCTTAATCAGTTATTAGAAGAGTTCTTTTATGTTGATAAATCAGTGTAAAGAAAAATGTTGCTTCATAGGTAAAGTGTAACACACAACCAGTGTTTGGGTATTAGAGTACAAGGGACTCTGTTCTTTTTTTTTAAGTGATAGGAGTGGGCAAGAGATGGCAGAGGTCTGAGGGAAGATTTTGTTAGTTCTTAAGGGTTTTTTTCCCCCTCTCCATATTCCCCTGTACCCCATTTCTCAAAGAGAAAAGCTATTAGCCTTGTTAGTATCCTGGTGAGCTTAAGATCCAGTGCAAAAGAAAGCTATCAGTGTTCTTCAGATATGAGGGTAAGCTGTACCTCATTTATTTCAGCACTGGCCCTGCATGTGTAACATGTGAATTTTCTTGTCCTTTTTGATCTATTAACTAAACTTAAAATAGCAGTCCTGGCTTTACGTGGTTCAGATATGAACAAATTCCAGTTATTACAGATTACTGAAGTGACATAAATCTCCCTATAACACAACTCAAGTTTCAGTTATTAGAATATATTAACTGTAATTCCATGTGGTTCAGACTTTGCTGGTGGCTCTTCAGCCCACAAATCTCTATGTAAATAATGTACATTAGGCAGAATAAGCTCATCCTGCCCCCAGATATCCACAGCCTAGTCTCTGAAACCTGGGGAAAAGGACTATGCTGAATTGAAGACCTTGAGATGAGAAGACGGGATTATCTGGGTGATTCCAGTATAAGCACAAGAGCCCTTACAAGAGGGAAGCAGGTGGTCAGAGAGAGATTTGGAGATGCTGTACAGGCCATGAGCCAAGGGATGAAAGAGGCCTTGAAAAGCTGGAAAAGACCTGGAAGTGGATTCTCCCCAGAACTTCTACAAGGGAGGTATCCCTGCTAACACCTTGACATTAAGCCAGTTAGGGTCATTATATTTCTGAACTTCAGAACTTAAGACAATTATTTATGTTGTTTTGAGCCAGTAAGTTTGTGGTGATTCATTTTAATAGCAATTAGAAACTAACGCATTCATCATGAGGAAATAACAATCGCATCCCTTCTTTCTGCATCAGTGATCTGGTAGCATCTGATAACTGAAACTTGAATTGTGTTATGGGGAGATTTATGTCACTTCAGTAATTAATCTACAATAACTGGAATTTGTTCACATCTGAATCACATAAATCACATCTGTTCACTTTATGCACAGAGAGCAGAATACACAGTTATGCTGACCCCTGTCTCCCAGGCATGAAACCATGTGGCATTTAAACAAACTGGATCTGGAAACTGGCTAATAAAGATGAAAGTGTTCCAGAGAAATGAAAAGAGACAATGGGAGAGAACTTCAAATTGAACTTAATAGAATTATGCTCAGCTAGAGGAACTAGTTGTGAGAAGGCCGACATTGCTGTTTTTAGGAACCTCTAAATGTACAACCTGAAAGACTGTGAAATTATCAGCATAGATGAGGAAAATGGTTGTGAACTAAAGGATAAAGATGTCTCAGCAGAAGTGATGCCAGCAAAAACTGTATATTAATCTATAAACCACTGTAGTTCCAAAATCTAAAATAAGATTTTTTAAAAAGATATCCTAAAACTCACCTGGAAAAAAAAATATCAATCACACTTGAAAAAGAATAAAGATTTGAATCAGATATTAGGAGATATAAAGTTATAATGATTTAAATTTGATAAGGGCATAAAAATAGACAAATTGGTCACTAGAACAGACTAAAGAATTTAGAAAACAGCTAGGTGCAGTGGCGCATGCCTGTAATCCCAGGGGCTCAGGAGGCTGAGACGGGAGGATTATGAATTCAAAGCCAGCCTCAGCAACAGTGAGGCACTAAGCAACTCAGTGAGATCCTGTATCTAAATAAAATACAAAATAGGGCTGGAGATGTGGTTAAGTGGCTCTGAATTCAATCCCTGGTACCTACCTTCCCCCCAAAAAATTTAGAAAACAGATTTACACATATGAGAAATGATTAAAATGCCATTTCAAATTAGTATTGGAAAAACTTTAAGTATAATGTTAATATATTTCTAAAACTATCGATCCATATTTCAAATTCGCTGAAAAAGAAGGCATGAAAGCAAGTGCATTCACAATAGATACACATACACACAACAACCACCACTACCTGAGAATAAACTAAGGAAGTGTCTATTAAGGTCATTTGCTCATTTTTATAATGAAAATTTACAACATTGAATAAATAAGTTATCAGAATACATTAAGACTTTACAGAAGAAACAGCCTTCTTTTAAACAAAGTTCAAAAGTCAGAAACTTTAACTACATTAAAAAGAAAAATTCTCAGTATGAAAAAGTGACATTGTCAATAGTTAAGTCATAAAAGACACTGAACAGTGTCAACTTAGGATCAGGACGTGATAGGTAATCCGAGGACAAAAGACACACCACGTGTCCCTCAGCACCTAAGGTGCTCAAGGCTCAGAACAGCCAGCAACTGTTTGTTATAGAGGGAAAAAGGGAAGATATAGTAAAGAGAAGAAATAAATAGAGTCTAAAACATACAAAAGATCAATGAAACAAAGGGTTGGTTATTTGAAAAGACAGACTTGACAAACCTGTATCTAGATTAACCAAAATAACAACAAAGGAGAGGGGCAGGGGAAGAGAGAAGACTGAAATAAATGAAATAAAAAATATGAAAAGGAGCTTTCACAACAGAAATACAATTATTAGGGATATTTTGAAAAACTATATGCTAAAAATTGGAAAATCTAGAAGAAATGGACAAATTTCTGAACACACATGACTAATCAAAATTGAAACAAGAGGATATAAAAACATCTGAATAGACCAATAGCAAGTAATGAGTCAGTTAATAAAAAGTCTCCCAGCAAGGGAAAGCCCAGGACCAGATGGCTGCACTGCTGAATTTCACCACAATTTAGCACAAATGCCTCTCAAACTTTAATAGAACTGAAAGAGAGGGAACCCTTCCAAGCTCATTCTATGAGGCCAGCATTTCATTATAATGAAATACCTTCTCACCTCAGTCAACATGTGATTACCAAAAAAAAAAAAAAATAGGAGATAAAGAAAAATCCCCAAATAACAATGCTGGCCTTGTCACCCAAACCTGACAAGGACACAACAAAAAGGAAAAGTATAGACTAGTATTCTTGATGAACATAGATGCAAAATTCTCACAAAGTATTAGCAAATCAAATTGAACAGCACATGAACAAGATCCTATTCCATGGTCAGGTTGGTTTCATTTCATGATGCAAGGGTGGTTCAATGTACACAAATCATTAACTGTAAGACATCACATAAAGAGAATGAAGGACAAAACATATGATCATCTCAGTAGATTCAGAAAAAATATTTGATAGAATTCAACATCCCTTTAAGAGTATAGCGTTGGACAAACTTAAGTATGGAAGGATCATGACTCAGTATAATAAAGGCTATCCACAAAGACTCACACTGAATGGGGGAAAACCACACACATTTCCCCCAAGGGTGTCCACTTTCACTGTTCTTATTCAATATTGCCGGGTTTCTGTTCTCATGACTAAAAGGCTCAGGGGTCACTCCAGTTGAACTGGGCTAACTGGGTTGCACAAAATAACCACACAAGAGACACAAATACCTTTTTCTTTGGGGTCGCTGTGACGGCTCCTCTGCCCTTAAGGGTCCGCAGGAAGAGAGAGAGCGAGAGCACACGCTGAACCTTTAATTGAGGAGAAGCTATTCAAATGAAGCAAGGGGTCAGGTTTCAGGGGGCTGAGTCTATCTTCATGATGTCCACTGTCAGCAGGTTGACTGACACCTGGGTAGGCCACTAAGGGCACAGTAAGAGAAGGGGACACACACACAAGGCACTTCCATGGAAGATTCTATCCTAAACAGGGAAAGGGGTTATATTACAAAGGAGGTGTGCGTAGCTCCACCCATGGGGCTGTAGCAAGACACACCCATGCATGAGACACCAACCCTCAAACCCAAGAAGGGTGGGGAAAGCTCTGCCACATTTCTGTGACTGAGTGCCTCAGCACCCACCTGGGGAATGTGACTCGGTCATGTGTAAGGTTGGTCTCCTACACAATATAGCACCAGAAGTTTCAGTCAGAATAGTCAGACGAGAAAGAAAGACAAATAAGGAGGAAGTAAAATTATCCATTTGCAGATGATATGATTCTATACATAGAAAAACTTAAAAGACTCCACCAAAAAATGATTAGACTATTAGAAATACAGTAAGGCGGCAGGATACAAAACCAACATGAAAAGTCAGATTTCCTATACACCAATAATGAATTTGAAGTGGCACCCCCTTTCTCCATAGAAAAGCCCTCTTCACCATGGTTGATTTTAGGACTGTCAGCAAAAGAGTCTCTGCAAAAGAGTTCAATGTAGATAAACTTCCTATTTTCGTGTTGCACTGTTTTGCTTGGCCAAGAAGATACCAGCACTCCAGGTGCTGGACACCCCCTTACTAGTTTTTCACAAACGTATCCAATATAGTAGTTTGTGGAAATGTGCAAACAAGGCGTCTGGCCTTGAGCTGGGCTTCACAGTGATGTCTACATTTTTAAGATAAGTTACAAGTGGGCTGCATAGTAACAGCTGGCAGGGGGAGGAAATAAAGGGGAGAAGAAGCTCTCCCCTTCTTAGGTGTTGTCCTTGAAGGGTTAATTTGCCCAAAACAGTGAAAGAAAAAGCTGCTTTTATGTGAACTTCTACAGACTGTGAACTTCTGAGCCCCTCCCCTTACATGCTGGGTATAAAACTCTGAAACTCCCTGAATTCGGGGTTCAGGGGATTAATTGATTACAACAAAAGCTGTGCCCTCTGAACCTGGCTGCAGCCAAATAAAACTGTTTCCTGCTCTCTTCGGTGCCTTGTCTTGTTTTTCCCTGCAACAAATTCTCTGAGAA